TGCATCAATCCTCCAGCAGGGTACGTAGTCAAACTGCAGGAATTTGTTGATCTAATTTTCCTGCTACCATCAGCACTAGGGAAGCCAGTATCATTTGTGTCCTCCCCGACCACTGGAATGCAGGTTCGTATATCCTTTCTCTCTGATGCAGTTCATGTGCTCAAATGTCTTGTAGGAAATGGACGACATGGCGAGTATTAACTTGAGCGGCATCCTAAGCTCGATGCTAATGATATTTTCTCAGTATGAATTTCAGTCCGAGTTTGGACTATACCCGCATACCGCTATCCCTGATCCACGATTAATCGATTTAGGAGTGAAGTTCCACACCATGGAGGAATTTTCGCAGGAAGTTAAAAGCAGATTTGTTTGAATCTCATTATGAACAAAGACATTTAGCAGCTACTTAATACCCATGTGACCTTTTTGCATGTAGTCTTTCCACTAATTGATCGTGCACACAAGTTTCCTAACACCCGAATAGTTGAACGAACGCCCAAATGACCATGATGCGGTTAGTGGGGTGTGGAGATGTGGCACAAGGTACCGTCGCAGCCGACTTGACATCCGGTTAGGAACTCAACGTCCAACGTCGGGTTGATCAAAAGCCGTTTGTTATTTCTGGATCCCATAGCACACCTCAAAGTTCCGTGCATTGGCAAGATATATGTCCCGCAACCATTTCTCCATGCAACGCCCTGCTGACTCCTCTGCCTTGTGGTCGCATATGAATGGCTAGCTATTCTCGCACAACCAGGTACTATATGTTGATGTCAGGGTGTCTAAGTTCCGGATCAAAGATGTTTTCAGATCCAAGTACTTGCGAATGAATCGGAATGATATCCGTACATTGGAGATTCCCCTCCTGTTGTTGAAATTCGTTCTATATATGTTTGCAGCTATCTTCGTATCAATAGACCAGAATTTGGAAAATCCACTTGGCCGCTTTTATTTGTTATTGGAGCGACACCAAACCGGCCGCATCGCACATATCTCGGAGTCGTGCGAAGTAGAGGTGACCTGCTACCCGGGCCGAGTCCATCCATTGCTACTCCATGACAGACACTGGAATGACAGCCACGATGGACTTCGACATAGAAAATTTTCACTATATCATGGTCCTTAGGGCTGGGTTTGCAACACATTCACGGTGGTGCACAAACCCTATTCGAGGTGATGTGTCTCCGGACCGTCAACCGGTGTATTCCATTGGTTCGGGCCATGTCAAAGGATGTCGTGGACTAGTAGAAGAGAAACCCTCGTTCTGACAAGAGTTTGGAATGAGTGATCCTTAACAGGCGGAAAACATCGCTCGATTGTGCCAGTGCGAAATGTCATATGTCAGTTTTCGGTACAAGGAAATTTGGAAGTATGTTTGAATCTGAAGACGTTTCTAGACCCTACGGTCCGATATATATGAAGATAGCTGTAATTTGTTCAACATCAGAACATGCGTTGAATCAATGAATTGTAATAATGAATCAATTGAGAGCGGGCCGCGGCGCCGCCTATACTGTTACGTACCACCAGTTCGGTATATTCAAGCTCCGAAGTCTGTGACAGACTTTAGTCTTTAGCACCGACTCGCTTATTCCTAGCATGTCAAACTAGTCTTTTTATTTCATTTTGCGCTGGCAAATGACTGCTAATCCTATGTGACTTCAACCCGTCCCCGCTCACCATATTGGCGTAGACGTTCATGCCCAGCCTCGCAGTCAAATCTCATCTGGTACACTATTCCGGGTATCAGTGGATGTGAGTGGAGCAGATCGGGGTGTCAATGTGGCACAGAGGTGGATTCTGGCCTTTGTCACTGTAGCGGTTGCCCAGGGACCGTTGACACTTGGGCTGCACTGCTCGGAGTCGAAGGCTTAACTTCGTTCAAGATGAAAGACAGTGGAGAAGCACAACCAGAAGGGGAGGACTTCAAGCAACGACGATCCAAGCAGGTTTTCACTGATCCGCGTCGTTTTGTGCTTTTCTTCGCGAAGCTAAATGAGTCATTCTCGTCTAGCTTTATATATATATGTTATTATTAATGATATAGACTGGACGTTCGGGCTTTCATTCTTTTTGTGTAACGTGGCCGACGATGAGTCGATCCCAGCGGTCCAGATCTATATATCATCCACGCAGGTTCTGATTCTATGGCTCCAATAAATTCATCTTAAACCATCCGTTGTGAAGTTCTGCCATCCAGGTGCAACCAATCTGCCAAATCAATTGAACTTCAAGTTTTTGCCCACAGTAATGTTTTCAGGATATAAAAGCAAGCTCTGTCTACCTCAGTAGTTCAGAGTCGCCTTTGCGAAGCTTTTATCACTTTGTATACATCATGCATTTCTCCTTCAAGTTCCTCGTCGTCGTTACTACTTTGGCAGCATGCATGTCTGTCGCTGCCGCACAGTGCAAACCTACCTTAAAGGTCTGCGATACGAACAATAATTGCTGCAGTCACAACTGTGCTCCAGTGAAAGTGAGTATGAGTAGCTTGCTTTGCATCCAGTATCCGACCCTGTTGCTCACCCTTGCACCTCGCAATATCAATAGCCCGGCGGTCAGAAAATCTGCCAGTGAAGACTGCTTACCGATGGGCTGGCAGCCCGTCCATGAGCACATCTGGACAGTGAGTCGTGTTTCCGCTTTCGCATTGGTGCTATGGCTGATGGCACAATATTAGTTCGTTGCTGACTTGGTTAATGTGGTTGTTCCTGAAGTCTATTGTTTTCCTTGCTTCATGAGCAATAGAGGCGCCTTTTTGATTAATCTGAACACTCAATATCGACTTACTTGAGGAGACGTGAGGAGCGATTTTAATGTCCAGAATTGTGCTGCGTCATTCAGAGCTTGAATATTCATTGCCGAAGTCTGCATTATGTGTATAGCAGTCGAGGCGGGAATTTTGACCGCCGCTGATGAGCGCGTCAAACATTTTCAATATCCATTCAACATCTAATCGTCTCACCACCCAACTTTGTATGCGGGAAAAGTTCAGTTTTCACGCTTGTTCTTGCTGAACCTTCACTCATGGATGGATCCTTCAAGGTTTATCTTAAGTGGTTATAGCCGACCGGCACCAGAACATGTTAGAAATATCGGTGGTGCGGATTCAATGGCGACAAATGTCTTATCGCACCCTGGACACTCACTCATGGACAGTTCTTCGGAGGTTCATCTCAACCTCTGAAGTGTACTGGCCAAAGTGATCACACAACAGAATCCAAATCTGTTTCTCTTGGACTGTGCAGGTTCGAAACCTGCCGACAATTTGTTTTTCTCTCTGAACACCTTGATATTCACTCATAGATGGTTTCGTCAGAGGTTCATCTAACTGGTCTTAGCTAGGTGGTTACCACAACAGAATCAAAATCTGTTTCTCTTGAACTGCGCAGGTTCGAAGCCTGCCGACAAGTTATTTTTCTCTCGGAACACCCTGACATTCGCTCATGGATGGTTTCGTCAGAGGTTCATCTAACTGGTCTTAGCTAAGTGGTTATCACAAGGTGAAGCTCACAGCGGAAGTGGGTCCTGACGCGTGACGGACCGACCGGTTCAACCACACACTTAAAGCTGAACAACGATGTTAGCAAGAATGCGACAGATGATATTCATACGGAACCCGTAAGATAAGCTTGATGGACAGGTAAGGATCAAAGTAGATGGGGCAGCACGAGAAAAATGATGATGACGAGCAAACGTGTCCATAACGCGGTCAAGCTCTAGCAAACGCTCCGTGTTGGCAGAGGAGGCATGAAAAGAGGTAATATGGTATTGGGGCACCTGATTGGAAACCTTGATTCGCTGACGGACTGGACGTCGTGTAGCATCAACCTACATATATGTTGGTAATGATTAATAAGATCTGTGGTGAAAGTGTTACGTACAGCGAGTAGCGACTTGTCGCGCTGATCCAACAACAATTCATCGAGGCCAACCTCTATAGTATCGCAGATATATCCCAAGTGTACGCATTTTTGTCCTCAAGGGCGGTGGCTAGTGGCTTTCCATCTGCCGAAAACGACACAGATGGCATGTCAGATACATGATGGAGAGGCGAACTGATGCACTGGTTGTTGCCGAGGTTCCACAATCGCGCTGTGTCGTCGTACGATGCGCTTGCGAGGATGCGGCCATTCCGGTATGGTGGATCTTTCGTGACGGTTCAATTTGGCGTCATGACATCCCATACTCCCGCACTTAAGCTTCAGCTGCCGGACGCGTCGTAGGCGTTTGCAGGAGTTGCAGTACAAGGTGGTCACATTCCGCACTCTTGAGAGAGCTGTGTACAGTTGGGGTTATCAAAAGTACCAAAACCTTGGCCTTAAGTGGATCGCACACATGGCGTCGATGCGAATCGGCCATCGGATTCGAGACTAGCACTGTACACGCTGGACAACGGGTAGCACGAAGTGGTGCTGCAATAGTCGAGCTCACCGTTGCTCACAACGAGCACGAACGTTTCGGCAATGTCACCGATGTCGACTCAGAAACCTGGTGTGACATACAAGTGACATAATTTATATTATTGTTAGGTGTGCTCTGTATACAGAATAATAAATACGGTGGACTATGAAAAATGTATGCACCATGGCGGCAAATCCAAAGATCCACCATAATTTTTATGATCTAATGTAGGAAACTGAGAGACAAGTAGGTATTATGTTGTCGAGCAAGCACCACCAACGTGACAGACGCACTAGTATCAGTCACGAATGGGTCACAAGGGTGAATTTGCTACAAAATTGCCTACTCCTCTTTCAGTTGGCCGACAATAAAGATTCTGAGTAGACCATTTTGATATCATAATACATATCAAGATCCTGGAACATACTTAGCTGATTCTCATTTGAAACAGAGTAACAACCCAAAATCATGTATTCTGTCATCAAATCACGTGATGAATTGGTGTGGTCTATCTTATCTTATCTTATCAGATGGCATTCATTCAATCGTACGATAGGGCATTCAGGAGCATTATGATTCAGTTTTGTACCAGTAGCTTTACTTAAGATCTGTGTCAGACAAAGTTTGAGGATGCACGGGATGTAGGGACGCACGAACTGGTAGTAGGTAATAGTATGTACCGTGAAGTGGAAATAAAGGTTGTTACACTATGTCCTGATATACAGTAGAGTCACAAGTTACTGGTATGTACACTGGAACTGCATAAATAAAATGTCGTTGAAATACCATCGACAAATATCCTCCGAAGTGATCCTACCGCATTCAAGTGACGCATTCAGGCTCATATGCACGACATCCAACAGCTTCTAGAAATTTGGCGCGCTCTGCGTCCCGACGGCACACAAGACTGTTACCAGTACCCATACACTTCCCTTCAGCACAACCGCCTGAGCTGTGCAATATAAATCCTACACTTGCTCCAAGGGCTCGTGAGGGATCTGCGATACACCCGTGGCCAATATCTCGCTGTAGACGTGGTAGAAGCGGGGGAAGAGTCGAAGGGTCGGCAGCGTAATCATAGATGCGGGTGCGTTGTGCACAAGATAATGAAGGAGCGAGGACCGCAAGGATGTGGAGGCGCAGCTCCACAGGAAGATTGTGAAATGGAAACGATTCGCTGGCAAAATCATTCATAGGGTGTTGATCCGCAGATGAAAGAGAAGCCTTCGACTGAAGAATGACAGTCCGGGAGTACTTTAGAAGATTCAATGCCTCCATCTCTACTTGTCTTTTCCAATAAGCGTTTCGCCGGTGAAGCACCCGGTGAAGAGCACGTTCTGCATCCTTCCATGACACCTCCGTTTCAGAAGATGCCAAATGCCCTGATTGCTGAATGGGGGAGTTGTCATTTGGGAGCTCTGTGCTTGCCTAGTTGATTCGCATACACTTCCACGCTCATGAGTGACCAGTTACCCGTCTCAATGGCGTGTAATAACTTCCCATACGCCCTTGATCCCTAGGTTATTACCACTACATTTGAGAGTGTGCAGGGAACACGCTCCGCCAGTGTGTCCTGATGAAATCCACTCTGCGAGTCCAGGTGCACAACGCGTAGTTAGTCCCATGGCATTAACATGCAACTCCCGAAGGTAGGGTGCCCTTAGATGGCGAAAGAAGGTCTCAACGACAGCATCGCCAAGCTTATGGTTTCCCGTGAGCGAAAGGAACTCCAGGCGAGAGTGATTTACTGTGGCGGCAAACCAGGCCAGAACATCGGTATCGGGTTCTATCGTGTTCTATGATAGCGTTCATCGACCTTGCGAAACCGAAATATGGATGATTACTCACGTTTGCGAGCCACAATGTCTTCAGTGCTACTTCATTTCCATTCACATAGTCTGCAATGTCGCGCAAACCTCGGCAGCCTATGCCATTATCGTTGAGATGGATCTCCGATATCGACCTGCGGTGCCGCGAGGCCGCTGGAGACTTAAGGAATGTAAAGAGTGCAGATACACCGTCATCTCCTAGTCGGTTGTTATTTAACTTGAGCTTGGTGATTGACCGCGAGGAGTTCAGCTGAGATATGATAGTGTGTGCACCTGTCCTAAACATTTAATATTTTGTTCCGTCTCGCAGAACCCCACAGGACTCACGGACCTTCGATGCCTTCAAGAATCTCTTTAGATACTATAATGGAGCGGTTGGGGATTGAAATTGCCATTAGGCTAACTGTGGGCAAGGCACTTAGTATTTAGTAGTACTCGTATGGGTCTGAAATTGATGGTGGCGGCCGCAGCAGGTGAGAAACGATCAACTTGATTGTCAACTCAATTAATAGGGCTGCTCAATTCCTGGGCTCAGTTGCCCACTTCAAACTTCATTGGGCGTAACTATTTTGACGTAGTCCTGCCGCGGTCATGACGCGGCTGTGACGCGCCTAAAAATGGTTTGACGCCCGGACTGACCCTGCGAACTGAGAATTGAACGGCCCAATTAAATAATTAAATTGATCACTGCCAAGGGTACCAACTCGGCTTGACTGATACTCGACTCAGTCACTCACACATGCTACCGGTTTCAAGTTTGAGAACTTCAACATTCACTTAATTTTTCTTCATCTCAGCGACATATTATATATGTACGTGTGATCACAATCTTTGGTACCTGGAATCTGATGCAATTTTGGTGTATGTATATATATGGACTTTCCACGGTCCTTGAAGCTTGGACAACGGCTACGAGCTTGACGGCCCTCATATCCTTCATGATCATGGCGACCCTGCAGGTCAGAGCCAGTATGTATTCCTACTCCTCTACTATTTCGTGGCCGGTTTCAAGTAGCGTCGCCTGCGGAGCCCCTGGTGCATGATGGAAATGGTCACCAGTGGCGCTTCTAGCATAGATTCTTGGAGGTGGCATTGTGCTCGGCGAAGCGTGTTCGAGTTCCCATGGCTCTTCGACCACATTCTTGGTGTATGTCACACCCTCCCTTTCTTCTGTACCAAACGAACTAGGCAATGTGGGTGCGCCCGTGTCGGTGGCTACCGCTGCACTTTGTAATACATGCTTGGACAGGATGGTGGCCGTGGTTGGGAGAGCATCAGAATGCCGTAGTGCATTAGCCGCTGTCCCAACCATCCCTTCTGATGCAGAGCTTGGCAATGTGTCAAAGTGCACGCACAAGGGGGCACAACCAGGTTCGCAGCGAGCCTCCGTGGTAGACTGGTCCTGGCAAACCATCTGGGTATTTTCTCGAATCTGTTGCAAAGAGCTTGCGCCTGACAGAACACCTAGGTTGGTGCGTGAATCCGATGATGGCAGCACAAAGTTGCCAGCATGTGGTTGCTGAGGTGCATCTACGGAAGCGGTGGGGTGGGGTGGCCGAACCGGGGGGCTAAGGGAGTTGGGGTGATTTCCATGGTTGTCTGAGCCCGGTATTTCTGAACTAGGTAAAGTTGTAATACGAGAGGTGCCGCGCATTTGAGCATCCGCCTCAGCAGAGAAGTCAACGAAAGTACCAAGGTCAACCGCGTCAGTATGGGTTCGAGGGTTGTCCGTAGGGTCTGTTTGGCCGAGCTGCATGAGTTGCTTCCAAGCGTCAGCCAGACGAGACGACAATCCCTGGACGACGTCTCCACACGGCCGCCAGGTTGGCCGCCACGACCATTTTGCTCCTTCCCTGGTGAGAATGATGCTGTTCGAAATCATCACCAATATGACCAGTGTCACAGTACCAACGATGGTCCTGGAAGTTATATCTCCAGAAGTCCACCAATCGGTCGAGAATGCCGCAAAGAAGAAGGCCATACTAATATGTTGATATCAGGGCCTCCGCCTATTACATTAGAGTGCAGACTCACCCCCACATCAGCAATGCCTTGGGGAGGCTATAAATTATAGCTAGCCTTTCCAATCCGCGTTTTCTGTTGTGAAGTTTTCCCAAAAATACTGCCTGAACCAACTGCCATGAGAAATGTTCTAGTAATACGGTGAAACATACTGACCGCTTCCATGGCTGTATTTTGTCCAGAGGTTCGACTATGCGAGACAAAGAATAGGCCGAGGACTATGCTCCCCAAGCTCGTCACCAAGGACATGTAGCTTGCCAGCTGAATGGCATCTCTACCGCCTCTATCAACAGTGTTGATGGCGAGAAACCCAACGTTGGCATTGAGTAAGACAGTGGCCTGGCTCAACATTAATCCCATGAAAGTCGATAACGATGAAAAGGTGGACTTACCAAGAGGTTGGAGTCCTGAAGCTGCCCTTTGAAGTTTGAACAGAATGCATTCCACCGTGCCGTGTGAGCAACCTCAGTCGACAAAAATTTTGTGCAGTTCTTGGACTTGAGCCACGGGGTCAAAGAACAGAAGGGGTGCGAGAATGACCATCAATGGTGATGGTTTATATGTCCAACCGTGGACCGATTGTTCGAAATTCAGCCTCACGCAGTCTTCACCGTGATAATTCACGAAGTGATTATGAGCTTCAAAATGAACATGAATTACAATTATATATGTATAAATGAGAGAGCACTGACTGAGTATGTACATGATGCGGCCTTAAATCGACATCAGGAATAGAATTGATTGAACTCAGGCTCAAGCCTCACCAATGACAATAGCAGCGTGACCTCGTCGCATACTCTGGGGCGTGGTGGGCAAAGGGGGAGTGGGATGAACTTTGAAAAAATGGGGTTAGCGCATGGCGTCTGTGAGGTGTCATAGTAGCATACTCTTGATTTTGTCAACAACAGAAAGATGATCCTTGATTTCAATGACATCAAATGCCGCAGAAGAACCCTAGGGACGTTAAGTGGTCTGCTCATTGTGACCGTATGCATCAGAACAAATTATTAGATCTAGGAGAGTACTGACCACATGTCGCATGTATCAACATATCCTTGAGCTCATCGACAATACTTTCTGTAACCGGACACAGGCTAGGAAAATAATCCCAATGTCTCCTACAATGAATGTTAATTTACTGGCATATGACCTAGAATTTCATTATGAACTGGGACAGTGAGGTGAAGATGCAGTGCGAACCTTTACTGGAACACACCAATATTGTGCCTCAATGGCAAACCCTGGTTACGAACACAAGGACAAGCCATCAGATCCTGATCATCTTAGAACTGTTAGCTACTCACACAAATGCGAGGAGCTTCGGATGCCTTTACATTCTGAGATAATATGTTCGGGATTGAAGTCATCCAACCAAAAGAGGCATCGGTCGCGGTGATTGGCGAAATAATAGCAACAGACGACAGACTCGCCATCGAAGCACTTGGGCTCGACCACAAGGTCCACCTCCTTCATCAGCGAGAGGCCCCCTTCCCCGATGGTCTGCTCGAGTTCACCCAGCAAATATTGCATGAAGTATTCAATGTCGTCGCATATGTCTGGCTCACAAACATTCATTTCTGTGAATGTTCTCTACGCATTATAGCTCCAATTCAGGCCATCGGTCGTCAATCATTCATGGGTTTGACGCACTGTTTCTTGGTTCACAAAATAACGGACACCTTCCGGATGCACGAACGCGGTCCATCCTTGCGGCACATTCATTCTTGAAAAAGTTGAGGTGCGGCAACTAAAAGTCATAAAATGACTTACTCATGCGGACCCATTGTCATGGCACGGACAGTAGTTGTTGGTGACGTTAAGGTTCCTTTGGAAAGGTCAGCTCTTGAGTAAACGTGGGAAAATAGACTGATGTTCACCGGAAATGGCACCTATCATACCTCCTGACATTATCTGTAACTATAGGGCATGTCGGTGGGCCGTCATAGACCATGACGACCTCTTGGCCCGGTAGCTCATTGCTGCCGGGGGGAGCGGTGTAATGCACATGATGATCGAAACCGTGATCTGATAACGGCACAGCCTGGGCAGACGAATCCAATGGAATAGAACCCGTATTCGGGGATCCGTGGTGTACATGATGTACATCCACGACACTAGAGACGCTAATCGGACGAGAATAGACAGGTCCTGTGTGTGTTCGATATGCGGCTTGTCGGACTTCCGAACCAGCAATCGATCGTGTCAAGGAGCCCACCGAAACACGACTATCGGATGCATATTGGGAATAAGGCATACCAGGCGTCAAATGCCTCATGGATCGCGTGCGCGTTGTATTAACAGAGTGAGCATCATCCATGTATCCTCGTGGTCGTGAATGTGTTGTGGATACCTCATGGAGGCCAGAAAGGCGTGAAGGGCCTGGACTGCTGAACTCCTGCAATGCCCCGTCCTTGTGGAACGTCTTGCTTTTCACGGAACTCTCTTCCATATGCAGAGACAGATGTAAACTTGACACAGAGCCTTGATGGAGCCCATCTGTTTGAGTGGCACTGGTGTATCCTATCGTTGTTGGATCAGCGTCCAACGGAGGGATCGCTGTACCCTTTCGTAGTGGTCGTGGATTTCGTGGATGGGATCCTGTGTAAGGTTCGTCTGAAGGCGATGGAGGCTCCTCCGTAGCTTCCCGCCCCGTTTGACCGGGCGGCAGAAGACTCGGGCAAATGGGTGAACCCTCTCCTCCGATATCCTCTTGAGATCGTGGGAGCACCCCGCTTGAAGAACGAGTGATCAATCTCCGATCACCGAACTTTAAATGACCTGCTACAAAGCGACGCAGTGAAGACAAGACAACGAAGAATAAACTCGCAGAGCGACGTGCAAGTCGTGAAAGCCATTTCTTCAATATATTAAGAATGCGGGTGAAATGGCCTGTGATCATGACGAGTTATTATACAGTGGTACAGTAGCAGGCGAGGGAAGAAAGAAAAGAACAGGCCATCATGCCACATTTATCCAACGCTACAGCCGCAGGGCGTCTATTAATATTACGCACTTGCTGTACTGGAGTTTCGAAAAAGAAGTGAAATTTATCTCATGAATGCATGTGAATCAGAGTGGTCCATCCGAAACGTAACCTTAGCATGGCAGTGAGAATACCGTGACTGCAAGGGAAGCGAGGACGAGGGTATTGTGCTATGTGATATTCAGTGCCTGATGTGATGAAGGAACATGATAAGTAATTACATGGCGTGGGAGGATAATACTAACTTAGATGTCACAAACCCTAGTTAGCGCTGTGAGCACGTATTTCTGTGGATGCTATCAAGAGGTTTCTTAGGCCCGATTGTCAGAAGAGAAATCAATCATGTTCTGAATGTCAAGCATATCACAAAAAGCGGCAGTCTGAGGATTAGTGTACCAAGGTGCTGTGCAACCAATGTCATTGAAGATATTTCGAGAAATTAGTACACTCACGTTGTTGATTCTTTTGAGCTCCTTCACTTCCAGGACCAGGGGCGCTCTGCACGAATGTCTGGCAATCCAAAATGGATCGGATTCCAGGTAGAGGACCATCAGAGGAATTTGCATCGTTGTTGTGCACATTCGACTTGACCCACTCCATCTCTTCGGCAACCTTCGCGCGAGCTGTTGCTTCGTCAGGATAATCTGCTTGACGCCGCCTCGTGGAAAAGAATGGGTGGAAAGCGCGTGATATTGCCAGCCATTCCGGATCGAATGTGAGCTTCGGCAAGCAGCGTTGTCCAGGCATGGTAGAATCATCCGATGTGGTAGGCACATCGATGACCTACATTAGAAATTAGCAGACCCATGTTCCATCAACACAGAGCTACATACCTCCATAAATTCTCGTTTTGGCAGGCATTTATCCAATGCGAGGAAATTCGTCACTGATGACTGTGGCTGATAAACAACAGGAGGCGATTGTATAACTTCTTCTTCTTCCTCTTCTAGGGTTATTTCATCAGGGTTGTGGGAAGTCGTTTGCAAACGAGTTTCAATTGGAGGATTCTGAGGTTCATCTGCATCGAAATCATCATCTGCAATTGCTATTTCATCTGGGTTTTGTGGCAGCGAAGTAGTGGATGGAGAATTCGATCCGGTGCCAGATTGTTCATGCTGTACGGTAGCCTCAAAGCGAACATGCAAATGCGCTGAGAACCACCATTTTGGTTTCAGTGTCCGCAAGAGCCCCATTAAAGGAGGGGAACCCAGGTTGCCCGTCTGTACATCCTGTCTGAAAAATGGCTTGCGGCGAAGAAGACCCTGAGTGTCACCATGTCGCTCGATGAATTGAGGCCAATCATGAGAAAGGAATATATCCGGGGAGGACAGCTTTGATGCATCCGATGTGAGACCAAGAACTCGCAAAGACTAAAATTCACGGACCAAAGACAGACGGCGAACGTTGAATTCCCTGATGTGGTATATACTTCGCATGGAGCCATGATCGTAAGGCAGTCTTTCGTAAAGACCTGCGTGTGTTTAATGCTGGAGTATCCCGAGAACGTAATTGGAGAATCACCTAGGCTGAAATCGTTACTTTTGAAGATTCCAGACGCGCCAGCGATACGGATACCGTTCACTTGGATGCATCCTGCATGCCCAAGGAAGTATATGTTTGGTGCAAGCCACCCACCATGATACCTGTGAGAGGGAATAAGGATACAGACAACTTGCGGAGCGGGTGCGTACAGTTCCGACATGTAATTTGACGCCTCGTGATTCCCGCCTATCACGATCGTAAGCACCGGAGCGGTCCTTTCTCCTGTATAGTACCTAGAGAGAAGTGGATCAATGCATGATTGTACTAACTGGGTATTGGCACGTACTTGTGGAAATCACCTAGCTGCCTATACTTCTGCGGTACAGCCATGCATTGCATGTCTCTGTGATTGCGAATAGCTTGAAAGTCCCCGCACATAAGAAGTAAATCTATAATATAGTTGTGCCTGGCCTCCAGATCACGTAGGTACTGGTAGATCGCGTCCAGCGCGCCATGGCTGCATCCTTCCACTGCAATCTATCAGAATGTCAGTGGATAATTACTACGACTGTCGAGACTCAACCTTCATGGCCTTGAAGAAAGTGAACGCTCCCTCTTTGAGATCGGCCTAGTATTCTGAAGCGATTCCCTTCTTCTATAGGTCTGGCTAAGACTAGGTCACGGTGAGGTACTAATAAGATTGTCCAGGAGGTTTGTGGCTGTGCAACTCGGAAGTCTTCGTTATAATACAAAGCGTACAGTGTGAATTTGAAGGACGATGAACGTTTAGGCGAGCATGAAATACTATTACTAGCTACTCATGGTTATGTTCCAGCGAAAATCGGATGGACGCCCTTGCACGAGATTGACAGAAATCAATAAATTCTGAAAAGTTCCGTGTCCGTACTATCACGATGAGCGTCGCGTCGACAAATGGTGCGTTCCGTCTCAAACGACTGGTAGCGACGCCGATCGATGCCAGTCTAAGAATTGAGGAGTTAAATTTGAATAGATAGCTCGCATCCAGCGGTTCTCATAATGTATCGGCGCAAATCGACGGAAAACAATGCATTTCGAGGATCACAAAACAACAAAATAGTTGTAAAAATGGGCCACCCGCATGCACGCCTGTCCGTGTTACTGCTTCCTCCCTCCTAGCCGCCTGCTGACGATACCCAGTGCCTGGCTAATGTAGTGGACCACCGGAGAACTTCGCAAGAGTTTTGACCATCCACACGCAGTCGGCAACCTAGACATAACACACGAAAATAGGGATAGTAATAGTCACAGTAATACTTACTAGGCCTCGATGCTGTAGTTTCGCTGTAGTAAGTGTTAGTACAATAAGATCAGAACATGAGAATGAAAGGAATCTCTTGACGTGTCTTCTCGGGCGACAAGGAGCCATTTGGCATCAACCACTTCAACCAGCGATCATCGGCCGCGGAGTTCCTGAAGGAAAATATTTGCAAGGTCGGAAAACAAAACAGGGCATTACACTCACCAGCCGTGCTGGGCAGGAGTCGGTCGGAACCTCTTGGCGTTCGTGGTATTCATTAGCGCCCGAACCATACCGAGCATATATACGCTCTGTTTCGAATGTATTCATCCTTGACATTTGCGGAGCACAACACAAGGCAACAAACTCGCATCGTTCGACGAAGAAAGTCTGTGTTTGCCGAGGAGATCAGCGACTGTGGTACCGGTGTAGTGGAAAGAGCGGGATATTGCTAGGATGACTGTCGGTCATGATGGTGGTACAAGAAAGGGTCATGAATATCATTGAATGTGCGTTTGCGACGCGCGTTACTGGAATTGCATATGATATTGTCAGAAAGATGCGCAAGAGCAACTGAATTAAACATGTTGCGAGAACAGAATACAGCGCAGGAGCAGCTATGAGCACACAAAACTCAAGTTATGCACAATCGTTAGTAACGTGTAATTACACAGCTTGGAAGAGGCGAGGCATGCCGCAAATGTACTCAATTGGTGACTGTACACATAGCCGCCAGACCAACATACCGGCCTCAGAATGGTGCCATATCATTTGGCAATGGCCTCGATATCGTACCTCACACAGGTAAAGAGACAAAGCAGAAAATGACGATCCAAAGTCTCTGATCATTGAATTCTGTTGCAATTGAGGGAAGACGTACAAAATCTGACGGGCTCCAGATGAATTCTAACTGGGATTCAAATTCAAAGCGGAGGCCAAAAAACATGTAGAATGTGGGAAGCTGTCAAGCTTGTACATGTCAAGCTATGCCCCCGTGCCCCGCGATAACAAAGCTGTACATGTTCAACCTGACCACGATGCGATGGATTGGATTCTGGTCTATTCTGATGGAATATCAACTCTAGGATAGCTGACAGCAAGCCCGGTAAGTACAAATTGTACAACGAGACAGCGCCTTCAATAGATCGACTCTCACCCGGGTTACCATCTCCGATCTCAGAAGTATGTAAGGGCCAGACAGCGTGACCACAATCGAAAACGCGATCTTGTTACCTTCAACCAGCCTATTACTTAGTATCATGCACTTCAGGCCATCTTCCCAGAAAAGTTCGACATCATTATGATGATGATCCAGCCACTGTTCGTTCTGTCAATCATCAGCGCTTGAAGAGCGTCAGTGCTAGGCTTGCATCAACCATTGGTGAGCACTGAGCGCCTCGTGTTCATTGCTTCTCCATGGTCCGAATAGCCGCTGACGTTCTGGAAGCTGCAAGGAATATCATCAATGCTATACAGCGCCGTGAGATTGTCCATAGATTGGATATCGGAAACAGTTCAATGGGCGATGAAGGTTGCGTACAGCTTTTCAACTTTCTGGACTCTCCTGCTGGTCGAAGATGCAAAAACAGCCTCACAGAGCTGTACCTCACGAGGAACGGTATAGGCGCAAAGGGTCTACTTGCTGTATCGAAGTTCCTCAAGGACAATGATGTGCTCAGGGAACTATGTTTGTCCGGTGTGAGTACGGAATCTTCCGGTATTCTCCTGTTAAAGTCCCTCAGATTGACACTTTTCTCATGATTAACGCAGAACCCATTATCGACTAATGCGGATGTCATCGCACAGTTCACCACTGCACTGAACAACTCAAGACTATGCACGCTCCAGCTGATCCATAACGGCTTCTCTCTCTGACACCTTCATTCGCGCATTCCTTCCCAGCCTCAACGCGCGGTATCTGCGTCAACTCGGCCTTTCTGCCACCAATATTACCCGCGTCGTGGTCCCTACCATTATTGAATATGTCACGTCATCGCGTTGCAGACTGGATCGATTGCAGTGCAACGCGAACAGCCTGACACTGCCCGGTGCGCGCGAAATCATCAGCGCTATCGAGCGCGAGAACTACAGCCTTTTCAGGGTTAATCTCGATGACCTGCATATTGATGAGCATGATGGCGACGGCGAGGAGCGCACTCTTGCGTGGCAAGAGGGTTGGCGGATCTTAAACGACGCGGCCCAGAGGAACCTAACGAAAAAAATCTTGGTGAAAAAGCAAGCTGTCGCGCTACTGCTGTACAGCCGTGCATTATTCCTTCGGTTGGGCATGCGGGACCTACATGGCGGTGCTCCTGACTTTGCTTCTGTTTCCGCCCTCAATCGGCTTTCCGCAAGTGTCAAGTCAGATATCATTTCCGCGCCCTCGATGTTCTTCCAACTGCCTAAGGAAATACAGCAGGAAATCATCGCCTTGCTAGCACCGGATTTATCTCACCGGCAACGAATCCGCGTCGTTGCATTTGCTGCAGATTTCCGCACCCTCCCACAACTGGATGAACCTCATCTTGAATTAGCAAATATGGCACAGCTCCCCGCGTCCATGCGAGCGGGTCTTAGCCGGCAGGCTGATACTACCGCCAAAGTACCACACGAAGGCTCGTGGAGACCTCCAGCATGGTGGGAGTGTGCGTGTCCTGAGGAGAAGCGTAGAAATTGCCGAACTCTACACCGCTGGGTGAGAGAGAGGCGAGATGTATGGCTGACGCGTGTTGGATGCGACGTTTGGGAACCTGAATTTGCCATGCGAGGCGCAGAGCTTTGATCGCGACTTGTTCGGACTCGTGGATAATTTGACTTATACTATCTGAACTCACTGTTAACATCTCAAACGATCAATATTTCCATCATATCACTCCGGATAGTAAGTCATCGTTGCACAACATTTACGTAATTCGTGTCCGTGCGTTTGCCAGGGCCCAGGGGACATGGCTTAGTCAGCCACTCAGGACTTTGTGATAGCGCAGTGCTTCGAGTTGAACGTTACGTTGACCACTTGCCTTACTGCCATATGTCCTGTATATACTGGAAGTCACATGGTGTGTCCTGCTCTACAGCTCTTGGCTGTGCGCTGCTGTGTCTTTCACAATGAATAAATAAACTTCTCGCCATGCTCAAATTGCATCCTCATCCCCTTCTAATATCTGACTCGACCAAGTTACCCTAGTCATCGAATCACTGGGACATCAGGCCCTTAAATTATTGCATATACTATCTGGTAACCGGTATATCAATCTTCGGCCTCGTTCATCAGTGATCAGTCTATATATGTCGAACATTCCTCCAAAGCCCGAAGGAATTTCAAGGGCACTCCTTATTGGTGTGGACAAAGTAACAGGTTTCCCCAACCTCCCTCAAGCGCACACAGATGTGGCGAAAATGAAAGAGTTCCTTATGAACTGTATGTATATACGTTTTATACGGAAAAGTCGAATTACTAATTTATCGCTTTAGTTCGTGGCTACCGCCCGGAAAACATCATCGTTATGATGCATAGTAACAGTGTTTTGCCAAACTTATATCCTAGTAGGGTAAACATAGTGAGCATCCCAAGTTACGTACTTTCCATAGCATATCCAACTGTAGAGCACAGCTCCGCGAGATTGACCTTATTGTCAAACGCACATCCCAATACGACCAGATTTTTTTCTACTGTAAGTAAGCTCTTGCAACGTACTATATTTTCGAGCGCTAATGATTGATGATCCATCAGACACTGGTCATGGCGACCAGGTGACTTGTAGACACAACACTGAACCCGACAACAAGGATGAAGGTAGTGCCCAAGTCTCGTTCCTTTAAGCTATGTTAAAATCTTTGATACAGCCATCCTCACCTACACGGGGAAGCGTATCATAGATAATGTAAGTCTCATGTCATGATCATCGTCTGGTTCATGATGCTGAACGATCTCAAGACGTTAAAAAAACGCCTTGTTGATCCATTGCCTCACGGCGCCAAGCTTTTCGTGCGCATCCCTATTTGATCTTTAAGTCCTACTTACGATGTCGTCTGGTAAACAGGCGCTGTGGGATTGTTGCCACTCTCACACAGTGCTGGGTGCGTAGGTCTAAAGTTCGTATTCGTTTTCGCACTAATGCGAGCATCCAAGATTTGGAACATTTCAATTGCAACGGGTTATGGCGGATGCCTTTGAAAGTCCTGTCAGGTGAGAGTCATGTTTTTATTGTATCTTTAAGTCGATTTTGATGATTTCAGGTCTGGCAAGGAAAACCAAGAGCCTTGGTGGGTATTTTGTCGCTCTGTTCGCCATCATCTAAACATTCGCTACACAGGCAAGAGGCTCAGCTCCAACATCTTGAAGGATAGCTGCGATGGTCGTTTCTCATCAAAGGATGATTCTCAATCAAGAAATGTATCATCTGAAACTGACGGCGTGGATCTCTGCAAAGTGTCTTCTCCTGACTCATACTTGCCACCATGTTCATTTAATTGTCCTATGACGCTCCCCGAGAACCAGGTCATGGCCTACGTCGTGCGTGTTTCTCCGACTGATATATTCTGATATATTCTGAACTCGATGCCCCCAAGGTTTCCTTATCTGCATGCAAGGATAATCAGTTGGCATATGACGACAACGCTACGGGTGAAACTGTGACGAAGGTAATATTCAGTTCTTCTAAACATTTCCAGTCTGACTAATGGTCGCTTAGTTCTTCATCGACCACCTTGGTGAGAGGCATATTCAGAGAAAGAGAACCCTAGAACTCATCCTCTTTAGAGCACAATCCTAGACCTTCTTATTCCGAGCTACTCTGCTACATACGGTGGGTGGCACTTTCCTGTCTCCTGCGGCGCACTAATGAGCATTTCACAGGGGAAAGGTCAACGACATTACTCGCAGGCGCATACAACCGGCCAGTAAGACATCTAATCACCCGCATCATCTTCAGAGACTGTCGGAAAATGAAGTCGAAATCGAGGATTGGCACAAATGCGGTCACCATAGTCACTGCGATGACGGAAATGTCGATGACGGAAATGACACTTCCACTTTGAGCTCTCAGCAGCCTTCTGTGCGTTCGCCGTTGCTTTATCATGTTCGCCATACTTACCCTGTTTTTCGTGCAGTACTCGAGCCACTATCGCATGGTGAGTTTAATAATATGGCTTGCGTATTGAGTGTCATGTTCATGTTCGTGTGATTCAGGATATGTCGCAGATCATTGAATTCTGAAGCACAAGACGAACTGTATTGGCTGGCACAGCTACTATACGCTGGTCACGGTTGACATTTACCTTATTGATTAAATATTAATTTGCTTGGGAGGACCTTCGGGAACCTTTCTCTTCATACCCTGGCTTTCGAGCAAATACCACAGTTTACAACCTATCATATTCAGGACAATACCCACCAGTTCTCCTTCGAACTCTTGATCCTATTGTATTCTACTTAAAAGCTTAACAGCTTACATATTCTTATTCGTAATAACTGTCATTGCCATAGCTTTTGCTTGAGTCATTCAGGCAACCTGACGAACCCGCCAGCCGTCACATTGAGTAACCAACTGCCCCTGGAAAAACGTAAAATGCGTTGATCGCTTGAATGTAAATATGGGTAGCACAAGAGAAGGGAAGTGGCGAGCAGCAAGTGGAGTATGCGACTGAAAACAGGCCATCGGCGCTAATAACTGCATCTAGGTGGGGGAAAAATAAACCAAGTGTTGGAATTTCCTTGCAGGTAGAAGTAAGAAAATGAAGTGTGGTAGATGTCCATGAGATCCGCTGTCGTGGAACATGCACTATTTAACATGTCTCTCCCACTCGAGATCAACTGAACACCTTCAGCACCTTGTCATGAATGATACATTGCCCGGCGTCAAGCGGGGCAAATTGTATTAACAAATTATATGTGTGATGTGATCATACAAGTATGTTGATAAAGGTCGATAGTCCTACATAGGCGGCGGCGTCAATACGTTCGCATGGTTGATGTCGAAGGCGGTGAATGAGTGGAGGGCCGAGGCCAATGCGTGCGGACCGACGGCGTGTTTGAGATTAGTGCGGTTGTTCAGTGGGCGCTTGGATAAGTTAGAATTTGGACTATATGAACCTAGGGAGATGAGTTTTGTCGAGGAGTGGGCGCTTGAGCAGCGGATGCAGTACTCATGTTGGGACGGAGTCAGCGAAAGAATAACTGTTGGAACTTACATAACGAGAATGGGCTCCTCGGGGTCTTGCGTAGATCAACACAAAATATAAAAGGAAACCGTGACTGTGACGTTCCCAAAACCACATTCCATGATAACGTTAAACCTGGTTCGGGAGGAGGAAAACATTTGTTTCCGCATCGTTTTCGATGCAGAAAAATTGTGGTTAGCTATGTAGAGTCCGTATAATCCATCCCGCGCCTCGGCGCGATCTTTTTATTGCAAAAACACGTCTAGTGAGTCTCCGTGCGCCGATTCACGTCAATGCCGACACCAAACGCACTTCTCGACCACGAAAAAAGAACTCGTTCCTGCATTTCGGGTGAGTACTTACGGCGTGCCCCACGAGAGTCTAGAAGGAATTTGGCAGCTCATCACATGGAGCATGCTATGTTTGGGAGGAGCCCAGTTTTGCCCACCCCATGAAAAATCACACCTTGTGGGCTCATGGTGTACGGTAAGTATCGGTTTTGGACGTTTTCACGATGAAACGGCACACGTTTCCGTGTTCGGAACGCCATAATATATTGCTCCCCTGTCTATTCTAGGTACACCCCTCATCTCCCTTCCCGCCGGTTCCTCCCCGTGCATCAGCGACAGCCTCCGCTTGTTGATACACACAGGCGAGCGCGCGCTATCCAGGGTCGTTACACAGCCGCCGTGACATGCACTTAGTCATCCTCCCTGTGCCCCATGACAGGAAAGCCTGCCACTGGTCTAAACCTAGATCTTTTCTACGATTCTACGAACAGCAATACTGTGCTGACTCCCGATGAGTCAACACTGTATCGTGTAAGCCTGTATAAACCCAACTTTTCTACGAACACCGCTTTGCTCTGACTCTTGACTCGTATAAATCCTATGTCACAGGAGTTCTGATTCTTCTTGGACCTTTTATTACTTGTTGACCCCATCGCTCCATCACCTCGCTCCAACGTTCTGAGTCAAGCAGACTTCATCGGTGTCGATAACTTAGTCGGAACGCTTAGCAGTCGATTAAGATATAGATCACAACTGCCGATCATTTATCTTGCTGCGGTCGATCCTGGTCGATCACTTGAACATATCACTTGCCTTTTGGAAACGTTTCACCTTCTATTTGCTGTATTTATGGCAAACTCTACCAATGTTGGAAAAAAGATGGCCTTGCTCATCGCAGTCCAATCTGTGAATAAAAAAGGCTTCCTTCCCTTGCAGCATGCCCACGAGGACGCTGAATCGCTCAAACGCCTCCTTATCGGTGTGTCGTACCGTCTCTTGGGCCTGGATTATTCTTCTGAATCTGGATCTTCATTACGATGTTTACAGATAAGTTCGATTACCCTGAAGCGAATGTTGTCTTGATGAAGGATGATGTGAAGCTCCCAAAACATCTCTGGCCCTCACGGGATAACATGGTAAGGCACTCAATGACCAAGGCTCGCTGAAGTGACTAAATTACCCTTTGGCAGCTCAAGCAAATCACTAAAATGGTTACAAATGCATCCGCAAATGACTGTTTTTTCTTTTATTGTAAGTGAGAAGTGTCTGGTCAGTTCGCAAGTAATCAGAATGGAATGGACAAGATTCCGGTCACGGAAGCCAAGTAACTTGCAAGCACCACACGGAAACAGATGGAATGGACGAAGGTATATTTGATAGCCACGTTCGCTCTTCGCATTTGATCATATTTGCTAGTCATATACGCGTACACTGGCTGCTATATTATTGATAACGTACGACTCTCTCATACGTTGTTTCTTGATTTTGGACTGATCATGCATTCTCAGAAACTAAGAAAGGCACTGGTAGAGCCTTTACCTCGAGGCTGTACACTTTTCGTATGTGAAGGTTCCAAGGCATCGTGCAACGCGAGCTCATTGTCTTTTTGGGAGACAGGCACTGTGGGATTCATGCCACTCTGAGACAATTTTGGGTCAGTGCTAGTGGTCCTACTACTTAGCAAATATCCGATCTGATTAGAATCCAAAAGACCTGGAACACTACAAGTGCAATAAGTTATTGTCTGGAGATGCTGTGAGGACTCGGCGAAAGTCAATCACGGGGCGCTTCTTGCCGGGTATGTTGAGTTGGTTTGTGTCATACTCTCGTATGTTGACATAAGATCGAGGTTTCGTGTCGAGGCCAAGGACACTCCGTGAGTACTCCGCCCTTTCTTTCCTTGAAATGTCTGACTCGATTTTGTATGATCATCAATCAGCAGTCGTCAACCAACAACCTCTACCGCGTGGCCGTGCGGGGAATCCTTCACTAACGTTAAACAGCATTCTAATGCGACCTCAATCTCCCAGCTGGATTCCGCGCATGTTTATTGACAACTCACCTGCTGCTCTCCGTCGGGTTTTGTCCCCAGTCTCTTTGTTCAAGTGTACGGGTGACTGTCAGAATATGAAACCAGAAGAGCAGGAAGCAGCGCATGTAGTACGTATGATTTGGTCCTGGTTGATTTACTTACCGGCGACGTCACTAGGTTTCATTGTCGGCGTGTCGTGATAATGAATATGCGTATGATGACAATGAGACTCGTGGCACTGTGACTAAGGTGCGAGTTCCACATTAATTTGGTTGGTCTCCCTAACATGCTCCTTGCAGTTTTTCATTGAATGTGTATGTGAGTATGCTTCGAAACCTGAAATTTAGACATGAACACATACATTGGAACACAGCACAAGATCCCAAACCATCGTTGTTCACCTTGCTCACACACATCAAGTTCGGGTTCCATCTTTTACCTGAATCTTCCTGACAAATACCCAAGGAGTTGTGTGGATAAATTGAACGAGAAACGGCTGCAGCTCAGGATTGCCGACCGTCGCGCCACTGATGTCGCTGATAGGATGACTCGCGAGAAGACAAGGCCAATCATCCGACACAATACGGAGGTAGTCATCCATGACTTGGATGAGTACATGGACTGCCAAAAAGCTCGCTGCACATCAAAAGCGAGAACCGACTGGCAGAACCCAGGGGTAACTTTTCAGCTACTTTTTTGTTCTCGTGTCTGACTAGCCCGACGACAGTACGCCAGCCATTACCCATTAGTTGGTTCTTTCCTAAAATGTTTCGCACCAATTAGCTAACCCCCGGTGTGCAGGACATGAATCAGACTGTCGACACCATTTTCTGAGGATTTCTGATTTCTTGAATTATTTTGTAATTGATCTACCTCTTTATAGTTTGGCCAAGTTGACAATTTATTTAACCCGAGGTCCCGAGTTGTAATTGCATTCCCTATGGCACCATATTAGTAACGCGTATTGTATGATTGGTGTTCCTAGCCAGATAATAATACCCACTTTTCCATCAAACCATCGAGACCTGAGCAATTTATAACCGAAAAATGGGTTTAGTGTTCAACTTTTTACATGTTGTACGTATACTTGTAGGGCGGGCGTGAGGTTCTGGGTTGCGTATGTCGCGACTACACGTGACACTGCGTGGGTATATCCGCTTCTCTGAGTCTGAGTTTACCGACTAGTATCTCTTGAAGTTGTGAGTCTGCGCACAATGCCAGCCTTGCTGGCATGTAATCATTACATCAAGTTCTCAGGCCGAATCGTGTCAACCTGGACCGACCGCAGCCGCAGTGCCGACTTATCGTTGATGTTAAAGTGTTTCAGGTTGTGGGCAACCAGGCTTGGACCTTCCGAGTACTCCCTTCAAATAGGTCTCGAGCTTTTGGGCAACCAAGAGCCAAGTACACATTCATTCAACAATTACCCTCACTGATTCATCCCACAATTTTCAGAAATGTTGACATTCAGCATCCTCGCCCTTGTTATCCTAGGATATGCTGATGCATTACCCTCTAAAGGGCATCTTCGCACGAGCTGTGACCTATCCTGTGCAAGACTCCAGGTGCCTGCTAATCAGACACAGCTCATTGCGCCTACATATGCACCGAGCTTCATTGGCATTGGTGTTGGTACTCAAAACTACACTTGTAATGCCACCGAATCCACATACGCGTGAGTTCAAGCCTTGTTCCTCCAACACCATTGTTAACGCCATACAGACTTGTCGGAGCTGTCGCAGAACTTTTCGATAGCTCATGTTTATACGGTACTCCTACTTTCGAGAGCGCTCCAACCACGGTTTATGATGTGTGGTCTGCTACTACTGGTATAACGATTCAGGAAGTCATCACCATGATGGGGCTCACGCACGATTCTACCGTGCTTGGACAACACTATTATGTTCTGAACCCTGTGGGGTCCGGTTTGTCTCCAAAGTGGGACTTCACATCATCTGGGGGTGACAGCTGGAAATTCAAATGCCTATGTCATTGGTGCTAAAATTGGCGACCTGCCTAGCTCGAACTCGAGCAACATTGATAACTTGATGGTCAAAGCTGTCGAGGGAGAATTAGCTGTCGAGGTTTTCAGGGTGGATACCAACGGAGGTCAGCCGCCCACAAAGTGTGTAGCAGGAGACTCGAACATTACTGTCAAATACACTGCTCAATATTGTGAGTATTTCCTGAGAAACTGTAGTAATCAACGATAACTGACGAGATTTTAGGGTTCTTCCAATAAAAACATTTCAGAACACAACCTTGGATCATCCTACCGTCGATAGAGCCCCGGTCGTACTGCCATTTATTTCTATTTTATAAAATATACCCTTTCGTCGTCTCAAAAAGCCGTCAAAATGAAACCGCAAGCAAGGTGAACGGAGGTAGATGCTCTGATATATGCCGTGGTTGCAATCTCCCGAGAATATATATGCCTCGTTCGAGAACCTCAACCTCCTATTTATGTAAACCTCTCACTTTGGGATGCAAGTGGCCCTGTCGGTTCTTCGCTTGCTTCCAAATTACTTCCGTTTGCAGTGGTACCATCCAACAAACCTCCCGGTTCGTGTCAGGCGATCGCCGAGGGCAACTCACAATCGTGCGTTCTCAGCTTGGTTCAATTTTTACGTCATTCGTGACACTCATACGGCGCCATGCTCACTACGCATCAAGAACGCATGGCATTACAACCTTCTTGACACAGTAAGGGTGCCACGAGCAAGCCCCGAATGAGCACAACATCAATCAGGGTTGACGGTTTTGCCTGGAATGAATATATGGCGCAGCAGGAAGCCCGCGAATATCGTGTCTAGTGAAAAGTGTAACATCCAACACAGACATCGAATTCACAACGGTGCTATAAAGCCTTTGCGGTCATTTGAGGCTGATTACGATGCGCACTCGTCGCAGATAGACTCCATTATATCACGCTTCTGTGATTCGCAATGATCCGTTGACGGTTGATCGATGTCAATCCTGGTGTCAGGGATTCTGCCGGGAATCTGCCCAGTCCTGAACAGCCCTAAGACTTCTTAGAATTAAAGAGACAATTATATTATGACGGAATTCACGAAAATAATGGTTTGCCGAGTTGTCACTCACGTAAACTTCATCTACACCTTCATGAGCGAAGAGCTGGATTGGATCCGGTGTGAAGGAACAGATGCTATTTTGTCCGTGATATGCAATTGTGAGCCGAAATTGTCACCTTAATTGTTGGAATGAACGAACCATGTCCTACTCGTCAAGCCTCGCTGGTGCCCAAATTGTACGGTACCGTGAAGTTGGTGTCGTGTACTCGAGAACGTTCCCACCAAAAACTTTGATATCAATTTGGCATTGGAAACCTGCCCGCGGACATGGTTCGTTGTTCCCTAGGAAGGTGATCGGACATTGATATGTGACAAGACCCCGTGAACGAGGTTATCATCGCTCTAACACCATCCCAAGCATAAGACGAGTACTCAAAGTGCTGGACACCGAGGGGCTAGTAAGTCTGGAGTGATTCCGTGAAGGAAGTTACGGCAGTGTCCTGTTAGTATGCAAGCTTTTTTTTGGCATCAGATTGACTCGGGCCTTTGAAGTCAGTGACCCCATGTTGGACATGCTTCGTCATACGCACCTTTCCTGCGATGTGGCGCGCTGGCATATTATATGATTCGGACACGTACAGTATGCAAACATTGATGATTGATGGAAGGTCACGATTCGCCAAATGCATGGAAACTACAGCCTTGATGTTGTGCTAACAGGTCCAATTGTAAGCTGGCCGAGACCCAATTTCTTTGCCCAGCTCCTTAACAATCCCACGCCTTCACCTTCCACTGGAAGGGGTAAAGCGGGTTTACTACGAAGACTATTCTTCATAACACCAACAAAAGGGTGGTAGTATGTTCCAACGACACCCCTACAACAGAAACCATCAAGTCCCGGTTTATTACAGTAAATATAACACACCAAAGCATCCCCTGCAACAACGGCATAATTACTTGATCGCGAACCGTGACCCAAGCTAGTTTTCCCCAGTCGATGCGTGTAATTTGTTGTGATGAAGTGATGACAGGTGAAACGTGTGTAGCGGCGGTGAATGAGTCGTCAGTAGATAATGGAGGGTCGACACCGCCTCCTTTTCCCGCTATTTCTTCTACATGAAGGCACGTCTGCACGCGGCTAAGGTATGTCTGTTCGAACCGGATATCTGGTATGGGAAGACGTATCCGATGGGCAGCTTCAAGGCCGTCATTTACATTTAGTTCGCCGTGTTTACGGCGAACATGGTCTGAAAAATCATACACGTAGTCATGCGAGTTGGTGGATGATGGGTGTCTGTTGGTCATGGCGAGTTGTGGACTGAGGCCTCTATACGCCTCAGGTCCAGGAGCGAAGGGACAAACTGTTTTAAGCGAATGCGGCATTTTCCGATCTCGAAGGATGTTGGCATCAAACTCGTATTCAAACTTTCATCCACATGGTAAACTTTCATGTATACAGCATCATAATATGCACTTTCTTGGGGTAATACTTTCCTACTCCAAGGTGATGTGGGATTGTCTCATGGAGACCCAGTGCGTAGCGACTGACAGCCAATGGTGTGATTTCTTAGCCTTGGTCGTGGTTGATCGGACTTACCTCGCACCATTATCAAGGCGCAAGCAATTGACTCTAGATCCTTGTCGATTACATGCGTCAAGTGATCGGATTGCATTAGGAAATTCCACTGAGGCGATGGCGGGTACTTGGCTCTCGATAAGTGCTGCGAGCTATCGATCCATGCCCTTTCCGACGTTTCGAGGAAGTCGAAGTCTTGCGCATTGTTTGCACGTGTGCCCACATGAACTGCCTCGAGAACTCTGTCACAGGCCGCTCGACGATTGATACGTGGAGACAGGTTGTGATTTTAGCCTCCCATTCCTGACATTCAACTTTCAGGACACGGTAGATAACCACAGCTTTACCTCCTGAATCAGCACAGAGTGATATTATTCTGAACCCCACTTTTCATGACGGTATCAGATCAATTTCCGCACTCACACTCACTTCGCTTTCACAGAGTAACCCCCTTTTTTTTCTACAACTGCGGTCGTGATTGTTGGTTAACATCCGCTTGTTGAATCACCTCGTGGAAAACATGCGTCTTTCTAAAATGATACAGCGCGGAGTCCGTAGCATTGCCTACGTATCCCTGGTTTTCCTCATGTACGCACTGGGCTTTTTCTTTCCTCTATCTACTAATAGATGCTACGCGCTGAGCTACACTCGATACTTTCCCTTGTCATTATGCGTATACAACGCTACTTCCAACAATGTTCATCCATTACACACCTTCACCAATTTCTGAGCCGTGCAATCGAGCTTTTCGTCAACCTTATTCGACGCTTTCGTCACTCGTCACGGGTTCAAGATGATGCAGAAAAGGCGCCGGAAACAGCGTTTGAAGTTCGCTCTCTGCAGCCAATCGGCGGATACGTTTGCGCTAGTCAATTGCCGCCGAACTCGAGTCCTGATAACAGACCCAGTGAACCATGTTCCCCATCAGATGCTCCCTATGACACACCTACGCGTATTGTAATACCCCGTCCCCGCCCAACCAGGCAACAGACATCTCATGAAGCCATGTCTAGTCATGAGCATTTGACAGTGCCGGGTCCGCCAGAAATGAGGGAGCTCGTCACCGACCGCATACCACCTACTCCCGCTCTCCCTACGACCACGACTCGTCCTCCCATTTCTGTGAACACCAGGTTTAACAAGGGTTTTCTGAGTGGCTACCCGGAACTCTCTCAAATTTCTCCGAACCAGCGGACGCCTGTGTCACCAGAGGATTTCATTCCACGTCCTATTCTTTCTCGTGCAGCTACATTCGGTGGTAGCTCGGATGACCCATATCCTACTACGCGGTCTTTTCTGAGCCCCCGTCGGCATACATTGCAAGTGCCAAACTCCCCAGACCGTGAACCCATAAGCCGACCAGGCAGCGCCCAGTCAAATATTTCTCTTGGTCGAAATTCGTATCGAAAACACGATGGGCAAGCCCCGCGCCCTCGTTCTCCCACTGCGAGTCTTTACGAAAGCTCATCGAATATGTGTGCCATATCTTCCGCTACCCTCGCCCCAGCTCTGGCGTCGGATGCCGATGGCTCGCAGGTTATTTTCGTTCCGCGCGCTTCATCTTCGAGCCATGCGCATTCGAGTGAGAGTACTGGACCACGTTTTGCTCCGATGTCAGCGAATGGAGTCAAGCGTTTTGATCGACATTCCAGGGAATTTGCCATGATGTACGCATTATTACAAATATCGCACACGGATACTGAAATTGCATTAGCGATCCTTCGATATCTGACTACAAGATCCAAGCTTACCAGGTCCAATACCCCAGTCACGAGTGAAGTTTACAAATTTGTACCACTAATTACGACCACTAATATTCTCGATTTTAGCGGAAACCTCCCTGTAGGCTGGACGGCGCATGTACACCCGGAAGGTGCCCGCTACTTCCTGCATGAACAGACAGTGAGTGACGATTTTTCCCCGTGTGTGATGATTACAACTCGACTCCAGAGAACATACACGGAATCAGATGTCCGTTCACCGGAGGTATTGCACGATATCGTCTACTTCTCGAACTATCTTCGTGGTGAACTCCGCCTCGCCATTGACAACAAGAAGATTGATATTGACTACGACGATGTGGAACTAGTGCTTGAGCCGAAGAAAGCGATGTGTGCGGATATCATATGCTGTTATTACTTCGTCAACCCCGCGGAGAGATGCCTTTTCTGGCTAGATGAATATGATGCGGAGGATATGCTAGGGGAATGTCGGGGGGTTACTGCTTTATCTCACAAACGTAAGTGCATTTTGTGGGCGAGCCTTTGGTCTTATGGTATCAAAAATTTGCAGGACTGGCAGTTCAAGCTCAATACTGGTGTGTATCACTACCAAAGTACGTCTCAGATGCGTTGTTTTATAATTCTCGCTGACAATCTTAGTCTAGATTTCCAAAACTTAACGAGCGTCATTCCACAGGAAGCACTGGGAAATGTTCCCTAACCTTTGCCCAGTCGCGCAAGATATATTGGATGAGCTTAAGGAACTTATGCTCCATGCCACTTGCGGTTAGTATTTGGCCACGGACATACCTCACCATCTGAACACATCCTCAGATCACCTCACAACCACACGGTCTGCAGCAGCGTTGAGCGCCGATGAACTCAAGCAGTACTTTGAAATTGTGAAGTGGATACGAGGTAATGCCACGTTTATATTTCCTGTTCGTTGTGGTAATTTGGATCCCCAGTGAACTCAACCGGCGACAGAGCGCATGCGGTGGTCATCATAGGTGAGGGTGATACACCCGTCTCAGATAATGCTGCTGATCAAACGAACAGGGCGACTTATGCAAACCTTCTGTGAGCTTCTCAACCAAGCTAGTATCACAAGTCTCTTAATATTTTCCTCAGGTCGCAACCAGTACCTGAACTTCCATGGTCAACCATGTGCTCGGTTAAGTGTCGACCAGACAGTGCGCGGCTGGAGCTACAAGCCATCGATTTACATGACTATATTTGCTCCACTCCTATGCATGGCCCCCGTTGCTCACGTGAGATCCCTGCACACCAGCTTTGTAGACGATCTCGCAAGTACCTCAGAGTGGAAGATATTCATCACGAGACTGAATGGGCAACTCCAGAACCTTAACCTTCTTGTGAGTCGAATTTCGCTCTCACAGCATTATTCTGACGTGGATTTCTCCAGGGGACAGTGCTCCTTGGTGCCAATGTTGGCTTTCTGGCAATCCAAACAGTTGATTCTGGCGCCGGGCGTTCCCCGACGCAAATAGCTAGTTACATGTCGCTGGTTCTTAGTTTCGGCTCTATTGCTCTGGGTCTGACGTTCATTACTCTGGATCTCACTGGCAGGGATCGTGGTTCTGAGGCTGTGAGTCATTGTCATTTGCGCACTTTATGAATCTATTCATTGGGCTTTGTACATCATCAGTCAAGGTTTTTGCAACGGATGAATGACGGAAAACACGGTCTGGAAAAGTTGGCAATCATCTACAGTCTCCCTTACGCATTGCTCATGTGGAGGTGAGTTATTTATCCCTTCTAGACGATCGCCAGCTGAGCTCAAACCCAGCATGCTCTTCTTCATTGCGGCATTCTCCTACGAATGGTGTAAACCTGGAGATGCAGTCTCCAGGTCCATCGTCGGCGCCGTGCTACTTACTGTCTGCGGGCTCGTCGTCTGGTGCATATCTGCGGCATCCGATAAGCGTGCGCCGTGGTGGTGGGAGTCAGACCAGCCGGAATTGGTCAGCAAAGCGACTAGCGTAGAGACCAACAAGCGCCCGGATAATAAGCGTTATGGTCTGGCTTCTCGTTTGCGCGGCTGGTTTGCCACCACGAAGAAAACGAGTTTCAGTTGTCTCTGTTCGCAGCGCACGCAGCGGACCACCACCTCACACCCAGATGACTCGGGCAAATGTACCCCTCATCTCGTTTAGGCGCGCGACAGTGAGCCGGCAGGCTCCGCCTAAGATCACCGTGACCCAGAGACCTGAATCAGGGGAGGTAAATGGCACGACACGTACCCCGGTATCAGAGGTAGGGGTGGGCTATAGGGGATTCATTTGAAATTGATGGGATGTTTGTGCTAGAGATCTTTTCCATGTTGCCCATGTCACATCGCATCGATAGAGCATTATACACCTAGCTTACCATAGTTTCTTCGAGTAACGTTGGGAGTCCGTACCAACACTTAATCAATGTTTTTTTTCGTTGTTGAATCCAGCTTTGGCGGTTCAACTGGCCTTGCAAAATTACGAATGGCGGGGCATGGATAAGATCAGTTTACACTTTTCACCCACCATCTTCTGAACCTCCCGTGTAACCATGGCCTCTTAATATATGCTCTCGCTGCAGGCTAGCCTGGGGTACATCACATTGACAGTGATGTGCAAGGCGGCTCAGTCCCACCCAGATCACAGGCCGGGCCCTCTCTCGACGGTCCAGAACTGGCCAGGCTCGGCCTAGGCTTGATATACAATAATACACTATGGGTATGCAAATGAGTGGCTAGAGTTGAAAATGAAATAAGCGAAATATATATATATACCTGCGCTGGGTACACAAAGGCTCGTAAAGGCCTAAATGAAACAGCGCCAAGTGTACACCAGCGAAAACATGCATGGACGAGCGCAGACATGCGAGAACAAGTGTAGGCAACGAGAGAGACTCAAATGAACGAGCGTGTGGACGTCTTGAGAAATAAGGAACAAGATGGATCGTCAGCATATACATGAGTGAATCTTCAAGGTACTATTCCGATAGAAAAGAAACCTTGTCGTCAGCAGGTTTTGACCTGCACTGGTACAGTCCAAGAGACAAATTTAGATTCTGTTGTAGTAACCACTTTGGCCAGGGCAAAGTTGAGATGAGCATCAGAGGAAACCATCCATGAGCGAATCTTCAAGGTGCATTCTGATCGGAAAAAAAACCTATCGTCAGCACGTGTCAAACATGCGCAGTCCAAGAGAAACAGGTTTTGATTCTGTTGTACTGTTCTAGCAACCACTCGGCTAAGACCAGTTAAGATAAATCTCCGACGAAACGATCCGTTGTTGGCGGCAAGTTTCGAACCTCCAAGTCAAGATAACAGATTTCGATTCTGTTGTGGTAACCACTTTGGCCAAGATGTTTCACAAGTTGAGATGAACTTGAACCACTAGTGCTAGTGAATGTTCAAGGCGTGATAAAAGGAAAAAGATTGTTGAGTAGGTTTCGAACCTGCAACAAATTTCTGTCCTGTCCGCTGCTTACCACTTGGTCAAGATGGATGTCTACGACTTGAACTTCATCTGTATCGACAGTAGAATCGCACAAGATCAGCAGTCATTTGCCAACAAAAAATGAAATAAAAAGACTAGCCACCAATAATAAGCGAGTCGGGGGCTGGCGCCAACGCCGTTACGATCTTGGTTATGACGTACGTGAAGGTATCAGGTCATGGCAAAGCTCAAGCTTCAAGCACGCGGAAAGCTGCAAACAGGGACTGCTGCGGTCACGTGACCTGGAAATTTTCGGCCCGATAGAGCTTGCCCAGAGCGATGTGCTATGCATGAGTACACTAGTACTATCTAGTACAAAGCTTCTCGGGGCTCGCCGTGACTGATTTAACTCTGGATGATGTTCTTTCCTTTCATTCTGGCAGCTATATCACTCCTGCTTTCTATCTTTTACAAACCGTCTGAGTTTAACACGGATGCGCTATCAGAGCAAACCGTGTCGCCTTCACGCATCCTCCTATTAACTGCTCATCCTGACGACGAATGCTTTTTCTTTGCGCCAACAATTCTGGCCCTTCGGCGAAGTAGCTCAAGTCCTGAAATCTTCTCCTTATGCTTATCCAGCGGAAATGCTGATGGTCTCGGGGAACGACGAAAGGGAGAGCTTGTGCGCAGTTTAGACATCCTCGGAGTTGAGAAGGATAACCGTTGGGTTATCGACCATCCGTGCGTCATCCTATTATATATAGTTCATAAAGAGCTTGACAAGTTGTTTTTAGACAGTTGCAAGATAACATAACGCAGCAGTGGGATGCAGAGATTATTGCTGAAGTCCTTCGACCATTCGTCATTGAGCACCACATCACTTCAGTCAGAAATTAAATCCACTTGCATGGGTGTACTGTGCACACTAACCGTTCTTTCACGGCAGATCTTGACTTTTGACACCAAGGGGATATCTTTGCATCCCAATCACTTTTCGCTCCCATTGGGTGCATCATACCTCATCAAATCTCTATCATCTTCACATACATCTGTGCCACGTCTCTTCAGTTTAGTCACGGTGCCGGTCCTTCCGAAATATGCCGGGCTGCCGTCTGCCATTCTTACTCGCCTCGGCGTCATCTCTCAAGCCCCTTTAGCCTTTGAGCCTACAGTGGATTCACTTCCAGTCTTTATTTCAGGGATCCCGGACTATCTCACAACTGTAAGGGCTATTTCAGCGCATGACTCGCAGATGGTGTGGTTTCGCTACTTGTACATGACGTTTTCGAGGTATATGTGGGTCAATGAATGGGTCGAGTTCAAGACTCAGAAAGGCTTAGGGCAAGATCCACTTGGTGCTACCATATGAGGGTCTAGGTCAGAATAATCTAGAAGACGAGTAGGCCAGAATTCGAAATACATCATGCTGCACGGGCTGCAAACGTGCTGAAGATATCGTGTTCGAAAGTGCTTAGGTCGGATAGAAGAAGCTGTCCACAGCCACGCCCACTGTGTCCCACTATTATCATGGCGTAACTCAGTTGAGCTTGAGTTTCACCTATAGGCTATAAAACCGATATACATAGTTTCTTCTCTCAATTTGTTCTTGTTTGCTGCATTTCAGATTTTCGGTTTGCCTTGTTGAGTTGCCAAACGCCTGGGCCGCCAGATTCGAGTGTACTATGACACGTTTCAGTGCCGCCGTCAGCGACAGTAGCGATGACGAACATGATGTACATATGGTTCAGGACTTCAAGAAGTCTCCAGTGCGGTCGCCGCCTAAACTACCGGAAGACCACAATGTCGAAGCTGGTTCAGATGAGGACATAGGAGTTGACCAAGAATCAGACGAAGAAACCTCGGAAGAAGATGGCTCGTCAGACATGCAGGAGGACGACCTAGCCCCCACTCGCTCAAGACTGACGCGTAATCACGCGGATTCCGATGACGACACTGAGGACGGATCGGAGGATACAAGTTCACACTCTGCTTCGTCCAGTGAATCCGATGTTGATGTGTCAGCCCAACGGGAGGACGTTTCGGTGATACCATGGGCTAGGCAAGTCGGTGTGGATGCGCAGAAGATGCACGTCATGCAGACTTCACTATTTCGAATACCTGAGGAGGCCGTGGCAATTAAAGCTATGAACCGTGCAACACGACCTCAATTCAAGTTGCCGCTTACTGTCAGGCGAAAACATAGTCGCGACTCCATCGGAGATGGGCTGCGGATGGACTCACAGGAGGTCTGTCGCGTATCTTGTCTCAGCACAAGTCTTTAAATTAATTCCGTGTTCTCCAGAGGGCATCATTTGCGCATGACATTGAACCACCAGCTTACCGACCGTCTAGAAAATATGCTCGAGTGGAAATCTCAGCCTCTGCCGTGGCCGGCTGTGAAGATAGTCTGGTAGATGCTGGTTTGGCGTTTGGTCGGTCCTTCCGCGTAGGCTGGGGACCAGGTGGCACTTTAGTCCACCTTGGGCGACTCTGTGCTCCATCAAGTCAAATGTAAGCTTCGTACATCTTCATGCAATAATAATGCTCAGTTGTTGATGTGTATCGTGACAGTGACACTTCTGCAAATTCTTCAGTGATCACGAAGACAATCGTACCGCTCTTCGCAGGTTCTCATAAAGAGGCCAACGTCCGGCTCTCACGTTTGCTGCAACACCACTTGAGCAAAACACCAATTGTTAAAGACGAAAGTGGAATCCCTTTCGCAGATCCATCCACCGAACTTGATTTTTCCTCTTTCGTCTCCCTGTACCCTTCCTCCGACCACTCTGACGAACAGTCTCTTTTCCGACTCGGTCGCGCGTTATTTGACAGCATCGACTTGCACCTCGCGCCGGAAATTACTGTTGACGTGCGCAATCGGATATCTGCAGTGCGCCGGAAGGCTGCACTATCAGATTGGCTTGAGGAAGCTGTGGGCTATCTTGTAGATGCTGATCTCAAGAAAAATACCTCTGGCGACTCTGCTGCATGCATTTATACCCTCCTTACAGGCAACCAAATAGAAAAAGCCTGTGAAGCAGCCATGGACAACGGCTACGTCAAACTCGCAACTCTGATATCGCAGGCTTCGGGCGACTTCGAGTTCAGGGAAGACTTGATGGAACAAATTCAGCTTTGGCGGGAGCAGCGGATAGACGTGCACATTGGGGAGGGCATGCGCAAAATTTACGCCTTACTCGCTGGAATACTGGATGTCGTGGAAGGGTCAAAAGCTAGCAGTCTAGAGCAGTGTCCAGACGTTGACCCTATCAAGGGTCTGGACTGGAAGCGCACCTTCGGCATGCATCTGTGGTTCTCAGAACCGATGGACGCACCAATATCACAGGTCTTCGAATCCTATAACCGATCACGACAAGAATCGCCTTTTCGTGTCTCCCCTCCACTCCCATCGTACCTCGATCCCTCATCAGAACCGTTACCGTACAACATTATTCCCACCCCATCGCCTTCTGATGCTCTCTTTTCTTTAATTCGCCTACATGCAGACCCTGCATGCTCATTATCACAGGCGCTCTCCCCACTCTCATTCGGGCCTTCGCCAGGCGATTACTCACTCTCGTGGCATTTGTACATCATCTTATCCCGATGTATGCGCATCCGTGACTTCGCCGATCGCGCAGACCCGGGAAGGCGCAGGGACGCCATGGATGATGATAATGAACAAGATCAGCATGAAGGCCATAGTCCAAGTGCCGACCTGCTTGCGAGCAGCTACGCACATCAACTGGAGCAGCTTGATATGCTCCAGGAGGCTGTTTTTGTGCTTTTACACATTGAGGGATCCGCAGGGTGAGACACGTTGTCAATCTGTATGTCTTGGCTACTCACGGTGGTGGCAGTCGTGAAAAGGCGATCAAAGACCTTCTACACCGCTCCGCTGAAAAACTGGATGAGTGGATGTGTAGCGGCATTCTCGGAAGCCTCAAGATCCCCGTAGCTTGGGTGAATGAAGCCAGGGTCAGCGTTTTATTCTTCTCCCCACTCAAGCACTCACCCTTTTGCATAGGCTGTGTATGCCATCTACGAAGGCAAAGTTTTCGAAGCCTACCAATTGTACTTGAATGCAGGATTGTATCAGCAGGCTCACGACCTTGCTGTCGTTGAGCTTGCACCTGAGGCAGTCATCCGGCAAGACCTTGATCTGCTTATATCATTATTTGAAAGAATTGCCAATCAGACCGTCGATGGATGGCATACTCGGGGCAAGGTAACGTCATTTCTCCTTCCGCTCTACCTATTTATCTGAAACTCCTGACCCAACTAGGTTTATATGGACTATGCTCATGCTATGACACGCATTCCCGAGCTGCACGCTTCGCTGACAGAGTCAGCAGTGCCAGATGCAGTCGAGGAACAGGAGTTGGACAATTTCACACGTACTGTGCCCCGCCTTATCAACATTTTGCCCGATGTGTTGTCCAGTCCATCTGACCCACGACACAAAGTCGCACTAGCCGAGATGATTTCTGGCCTGATAGCCGTGCTTGATATAGTGAAGCCCTTGGCACTGGTGCGTCCCTTCTTTTGTTATGCTGACTAGGAAGCTGAACATTGATCCTTGTCGCAGTCGCAGTCACAAATAAAGTTGACCTCGATCGACGAGGCTACCAAGCTACGCCACATACAAACGACATTCTTTGAAAAATATATGAGGTCAATTCAGGCCTCGTGATTGCTGTTTTGTCAGAAGACTGCTTCTTCGCATTTATCGTTGTATTTAACTGTCGTGAATACCTTTTCTTCCCGTATTGTAGTTAAGCAGTGACTGAAGTGGGGACATGTTCGTTCTCAATACTCTTCTACGATATTCATGTGGTTCTGGTTCGAATCTAAGAACCTGTTTGAATTTCGCTCACTGAAAGAGCGCTTAAAGGCTGTAGTTACCGTATAGGTTTAGTATGTGTAAGTCAGGCCCACTTTCTTTGGGTTGATTTCACGTCTTCCGCCACAATGAAATGCTGTTCCTAACCATAGAGACTGCTTAGCTCTGCTGATGGAGTTCCTGGAATGTTAATATTAGGTGGAGTAAAATGATGTTCCTAAAATAGTATCACACCAAATTCAATCTCTACGGGCCAATCATAAGTATGCGCGCTATCGAGCTCAGGCGAACTGAGCCGAGAACAACCAAAAGCTTGCAACGCATTACGACTCACGCGTACCAGTGACCACTCTACCCCTAGCTAGCCCACTAGTTTGTGCCTTTGGACGCCTGTGGATGGCGAATTTAAACAGCTAGCCTAAGCTGGATCGCAATGCGCATGGGGTATCGAGTTTAATATTTTCCATACAGATACAAATCTAATTGGTCGATAGTTCAAAGAGCATTCAAGTGCGGGCCTACCTCAGTCCCTTTGCCTTTGTAATCATACCGGGCGATTTTATTAATCCCGCGACCTCTATTAAAAAGGTGCTACGGTACTAGTGCCTCTCCGAGTCATGGGGCGTCACGGTCAATTCGAGTGACTAAGTCTTGGGAGCGGCACTTACGCTGGAGCCGCGGATCTTGCAACACAGTTACCAACCAGGGAGACTAAATCTCACAAGTACTCACTCTGACTGTTTGTTTGCAGTGACGCTAATTTACAGCGCGCTACATGTCTGCCTGCTTTGGACAATGCGCCCGCGAACCTTTCTCCCGTGTCAAAAACAAAATCTCCGACACACTTAGGTATGGAATCCGGAACTGAGTTTACGAACCGAGCACAAAGGGTGTGCACAAACAATGAATCCATGATTGAGTATTTCGTCTATGCTCTTCTTCCCCCTCATCACCGTCATGTCTCCTCCTCCTCCTGCCATCACCAAGCAGACTGTGCTAACCGGGTTCACGACCCCAACCGATACCACAAATGTTTTAAAGCAGCTCCGAGCTACTGCCGCACTGGCAGTGAAGAAGCAACAGGAGGCAGAGGAGGCGAGCCGTCGCGCTGCGGAGGACCTCCAGCGCGCCGAGGAAGAGGCAAAGGCAAAGGCCGAAGAAGAGGCAAAAGCAAAGGCCGAGGAAGAGAGTCAGAGGAGGGCAGTAGAGAAGAAGTTAGCAGAAGTAGACAAGAAGAAGACTGGAGCGGGACGCGCGCGCCGATGTACGGAATGCGCCAAGGCCAGGTTCGACGCGCCTTGTACATTCTCGACGCCAAGTAGCTCTATCACTAGTTGCGACCGCTGCAGGCGCCGAAAGACTGCCTGCATGTTCCCTGGAGAGGCGGAGAAGTCAAAGCAGAAGAAGAGGACGATGGATGAGGCAGAGTCCCCTCGTAGAGGCAAGGGCAAGAAGAAGAGTCGCTATCAAAGCCCGAGCCCAAGCCCGATAGAGATTGAGGAAGAAGCGGACGAGATAGCCCCAGCGGCAGCCACCCTGCAGAGGCTGGCAAACAAAATAGGGCAGCTTACTGAATTGATAGGTCATGTCAATAATGCAATGGCGGAGGGGTTCGCCGCGCACCGGAAGGAGCTGCACCGAATGGTTACTGCGCTGGACCTCCTTCTGGAGTACCGGGAGGAGTCGGCCACAAACAAGTCGATTAAACATGAATAAATATTAACTTACAGGTGCTCTAAATAAGTTATGACACGGAGTACTAAATATCAAATACTAGCCATCTATGCAACATCTATGTGCCACTGCATTCACAGTCTAAAACACCGTCTCAGTCGATACTATTCCCGCACTGCAATAGAATTGTCGCTAGCACGCCAAGCTCCAATAGCCCAAGCTGGATCGCATGGGGTGTCAATTCGAGTGTCACAACATCGTATGTCTTCGATACTCGAGCGAGTATGTCATATGAGCCCGGAATAGATAGCTAGTTAGCAGCACAGCACCCGGATCAGTTAGGGTTGCGCAGTAGAACATATCCAACCTACCTGCAGAAATCTATCATGGGGTCTCCAGGAGTAGCCAACACCGTTGTGGACCATGAATCGATGACTACCGAATTTCACATTAATGAGGAACTCTGCATTCCAAAAAAACCAATTAAACGCACCTCCTGTCCGTTGAGAGTCTAAGCCACTGGCCCATGGGCTGTTTTGCGACCAGACCACGCACCTCGACCGTGGGGCGGTCCCGCCACTCCAGCAGCGCAATGTTCGAGCTTTGTGCATCCTTCAGCATGGTGTGGCCCCCGTCTGTTACGACACGGAAATACGTCTCGTTGCGCGGTCCGATCACCTTGCAGTTCAAAATCGTAGGGCTCAAGGACGTGAACTTGAATGTGATCGCGCCCGGAAGCACTGAGGATACAGAGGGGTAGGGGAGGGCGCCGAAGATGGACGGCGGGGGCACGGTGGTATCCCAGGTGGACTGACCGTTTCCTGCGTTCCATCCATCTTGCGCTGCGAATGGGTTGCTTCCATACATGGCTGCGGACGTGGACAGGGAAACAGCTGAGTGAATGAAAGATTTGTGTGTTGACAGATCGAACAGACAAGTAGCGCCATGCCCTGATATACGATCCAACGACCGAATTGCGATGCACGAGAGGGGCACTTGAACTCACTGCAATTTGCATTACAAGGCTAAACGCACTGGCGAACCAGCAACAGAAAGGCTGGCGCGTACGATTACTACGCGCTGAGGGAGGAGGTATGGTCAGCATATGCAAATCCGGGAGACAAATTTCCGTAATATGGTAAGCTGGTGGGTGCAGTAGCGGCCGCAGGCGAATTATGACACCCGACGCAGTTACATTCGACATGGCTACGAAGGATGTGCTTGTGCAGGGGTACCAAACGTTGAGGCGCTATACGCAGCACATATTGCCGTCATTGCTCGGGGGCTATTTTTAGGCTGCATTTGATGAGCGGTGCTAGATTAGTAGTAACGTTGAGTAGCACCGTATTTTAGCGACTCGGGGAGTCGGAACATTGAGTGTCCTTCGGGCTTTGTCGTAGCGTGCTCTTCACCACTTCTTGCCTTGCTCGCGACATGCAGGCACATAGTCGCAGATACACCGCAACACCGACTCGCCGAGAGGCGCTCATCCTCGTTAATTGGACAATCGAATCTTGCGAGTAGTCGACTGCTTTGTAGCAAGTGTTTGAGATACCTCCATGCAGTTGGAAGTTTGAGAAATAACATCCATACGTCATCGGGAAGGCATCGAAACATTATCGTCGGGCAGGCCAAACATTTCCTAAACACGTCTCATCCGGAAGCGTTTCAAGTTGCTAGTCGAACGTTGAGCTCCCGTTCATAGTGACGGTGTCCTAAATCATTCGGAGTCAGCGTTCGAAGGAAGTAGCATTAATAATGGGCGTTTCTCACTGATCATTGGTGCCAAGCCATTGCAAGACAACAATTTTAAAGTGCGTACCCACGTTCCGAGTTATTATTGGCAGTGCAGCCCAACACATTGCCAAGCTGAGCACCACGCCACGAGTCTGACAGGACGGCCCTTGGGCATATAATACTGGTGAAAATCACTCGCATGCAGGAAACAGCAGTAAACTTGACGGCGGAAGGACAACTTGACATGGACAAGCATAGCAGTATCAGACTGAGATGGATTCCTGGACGATTCATCGTTCATTTGGTACAAACAAGCGAAAGGGGGGATACTAAAAACATAGACATGCAATGATGTACAACGGATGTTGATGCACTTTCATACAGCCGACCAATACAACTCATGTGTACCGCTTAGAGAAGTAAATGGACACCGTACTACGTGGCATACCTGCAATAAATAGATGAGACAAGATCATACTGAATATTGTCGATACGTACTTCCTTGTCCACTCCCGAGCCGTTGCTTCGTAGCGGGTACGATCAGTCTTATACAGATGGGCGATGTCGTGTACCAGAGGATCATCGGGATTGGGATCCGTCAACATTGAACAAATCGAAAGTAACACTGCATGAAGCGCGATATAGGCCACAAGAATGAGAATACGGCATACTTGCACACCTTTTGATATAGTCAACGCTGGTGACCACTGATCCCTCAAAATATCCAGACAGATAGATCCATTGGCATTAATGTTAGGGTGATAGATCTTCGTCCTAAAGCTGACTTTGGGTGGCTTGAAGGGGTAATCGGTTGGGAACGTAATTGTAAGGAAGAACACCCCGCCCGAATACGGTGAGTCAGTCTATCACAATGCCAGGAGCGCTCAATCAGCATAGAACCAGGATGAAGAGCAAGACGACATACAGGGCCCATGATTGTTGCTTGCCATGAGAACATGTTGTCGCCTACAGGGCCTGCACTGCAGGATGAGGGTGGGTCACGTCCGAGGTCGATCAATTCCTGTGCGCCACATGTCAGCATTGAGCGCGAGCATCGCCACAGGAACACAAGCAGCAACAAACGGACCTTGTTAATGCGCTTCAAGGCCATGGCAGCGAGTTGTTATACAAGATTCGAGACTGCATTAACAAGCCAGAACGAATCGCCGAGAGATCGACCAGAATCGCACATGATCAGACGATATGATTAAGTCGTGGGCATAGACGCAGGATCATCGCATGCGATGCCAAGACAACGGAGTATGAACAAGGTATAGATAGTGAGTAAGATACATTCCCCTTGAAAACTAGAAGAGGACTTACAGATGAGTTTGTACGACGATGATCGGGGATGCGGTGGTGGTAGAAGGGCAAGTAACAAGACCAGGAGATTGTGGCTATTTATGATGTTTGTATCCTGTTTGGTTCCGGTCGCTGACAAAAGCAGCGCGTATCTTTCGAATTCGTCTGGACCTTATAAATATTCTAGATCTATGATAACCGTTTATTTAACTTAACGGATTGAGCCCAAAGTTCCGTTGAATTCCGGTCTGGTCAACTTAACCTCACGAGCAGTCAACTAGTCACGGCCAATCTGTAGCGCGAAAAGACATCTTTCGCTGCTTATAATATTAGAGTGAGCATGTGAATATCAATATAGGTAGTTACCGGCCGTGTAGGCTATACGGTCAGCTACTACAGCCCAGCTACTTTCAGATTAATTGACATCGGGCAACGCTCTATGCTGCAAGTCCGAGAACACCTTCCCAGCAGCGACCTTCCCATTTCTAAGCATGCTATGTATAGTGCTCTTGTGGACCACTGAGGGCAGCCTTCAAGTTGCCGCGCCAAATCTAGTCGGGCTATAAATTGTGTTCACTACTCTCAGCCCTTTGATTGACGCTTCGTTCGAGACCGTGATTAAAGGTACTTTAACCAGATAACAGCGAGTTTTGACTCGATGCGGGATTTTAGATTTTAAATAGAATTTCAACATTACTTGATGAACAAACTTCATGCCATTAAGTATACAATGTATCCAAGTCCCCAGTGACATCACCCAACCCGACATATGCTGAACGAATGGAAAAGCCGACACACCTACCAAACCTGTCAAACGGCGGCCAACTTTCTCACTCCTCGTCTTCATCATCACTGATGACCAACACCGTTTCCTCGCACGAAGGCCAACAAAATCTAGTTGTCACAGCCGGTGCCTTACTCGGCACACCCACCGAATCCATCTCCATCAATCTGCATCCCAGCTTAGCTTAGCCCTGCCCACATTGTCCCGAAGGTTCAGTCTTCACATACCTGCTCCATTCACGAACAGCGCACATGATATTTTCTTTCTCCTCCTTGCTCTGCGCCTGGCTGAGCTCCGCAATAAGTTCCTTGCTTCGTGCAATGTACTGTTCAAGCTTCAGCTGCTTCTGAAACATCTCCTGTCGTGTATTTAAGGGTGCCGCGGGTTTGAGCACCGTCGGTTTGATGCTATCTATTGCCTCGGAAATGAACGTGACAGCAAGTTCTTCCAAGCTCCTAGTCGAAAATCAGTGTCAATAAAATTCTAAAAAAGGCAGAACAAACGTTGCTGACGAAACGGTGGGACTGGGTTGCGCAGGGGCAACATCACCGTTGACAGCAGATGGGGCAGGGGGAAGTGTGGCAGGATCAGTGAACATGGAAGAGGAGGAGGTTACGCCACGAGCATTCGCCTTGTTCTGCTTACTTTCATGAACGAGCCTTCGCAAGTTCATTTCATGTGCGATCTTGTCCACCGATGGTTCGTGTATCGATGGTTCGCGTGGCAAGGGTACTGGTAGTTGTAAGGGGGAGCCGGAATCGGTGGAAGTAGATGCGAGAGGATTGACCATGTCGAAATGTTCCATATTTTGTGTAGTTGCACTAGAATCAATATTTTCTCCGAGTTCCTTTTGGGGAGCGAGTGACACAACCGTGGCTGAGTGTGAATGTTCTACTGATTTGCCGGGGGGTGCTTCTGTAGACAAGAGAGACGATGATATGTTAGAATGTAAAGTGGAATCGGAGCAGATAGGTTGCGGCTCGGGAGGTATTGACGAGGTAGTTGTTAGGACCTCTGCAGGCTTTCTATCGTGTTGTTGAGAACGTGCGGCCTCTGAATTCAACGCAGAAAGTGGACCATTGTCCATTGAAACAAAAGCCGCTGCAGAATCCAAGTTCACATCCGTAGGGTCCACCGTCGCACTTTTGTCTCCAGAGACTTCACTTGCCGATAGCAAATCGCCGGGCATGCCGCTCGCCACTACTGGCGAGGACATTTCCACATCCTCCCCTCGGTCATCGTGATATATGACGAGCTGAGTGGAGTGTGGCCGTGAAGATGCAATAGACAAATGATCCTCGTCATCGTCCTCTTGGATAAAATGACCAACCCCAACATCAACCTGCGAGCCACTAGACACCTCAAAACGCACAGAAAAATCATCGAACGAGAACCGACGTCCACGAGGGGCTGGCACATCGATGGATGCCTCTTCCCGCTCAGTAGATGGTACGCGTCCTTGTTCCTCGACAGTGGTATTTCCACTCGCTGCAACTTGTGCGCCACTCGAACCTGCCTGAGGATTCGACTCAACCAGCTGCTTCCGCTGCAGCTTCTTCTTCTGCTTCTTGCTCAACTGAGCAATAGGCTCGTTTATCTTTCTGCTCCCATCCTCCACTTCGCCCTCCTCGATCTCGCCAACGCCAGCGTTAGAGCCTACCCCCGTAACCCTATACCACCACGCCCGAATCGCATGCTTTCCCTTCCCCTTTAGCTGCTTACTCTGAAATGCCCTCCGCGCAGACGCAGAATCCACAAATTCCACCAACGACTTCCCGTTCTTCGTATCCACATCGATACACACTGGCTCTGCTTCCCCTGCATTCACCGCCCACTTGTGCACCCACGACGGGTTACGGAACCGCGTCGGGATGCTGTCTAGCACAAGCGTACATGAGGGGTTCGGCTGCGAGGCGAGGTGCTTCACATACGTCCCCGTTTTACTGTTTGGGTCTACCTCCGGTGCATGCCCGATGTGGAGGAGCTTTGGCTTTCGCATTCGCTCTGGGAGCAGCTTCTTGGAAGAAGGCGGTTCAGGCGTTGAAGAGTCCGAGCGATCGTGGTCATGGTCAGCATCGGTGGCTGATATGGCTTGATATCCGTTGGACTGGCTGATACCAGCAGCAGTCATGGATGCATCAGCAGTTGTGGAAACATCGGCAGCCACAGGAGCAAGCCCACTGGACGATGTCGGAACTGTAGCACCTCCAGCTGCTGCAGCGGCGTATGGATCGACAGGAGTAGGTGCTGATGCTGGTGCATATCCAGCGGGAACAGTCGGGACGGGTACGTACGTATATGCTCCCGGGTTCGAATAGTCAGGATACGCTATGACATAGGTGGGTAGAGGCGGAGGTGGTGCAACAGCCATCGTCCCATACTGCGTGTGCCACGGCTCGGACGGTTCTGCTCCAGTATAATAAGGAACCGGAGCGCCTGCGAATGCAGGATTGTACGTGGCGCCCTGTGACTGTTGCTGCTGCATTTGCGGAAACGATTGTGGGGCAGGCGGAATGGATGTAGGCTGCCCGTCAGCGTAATTGTTAGCTGGCTGTGTTTGCATCTGGGGATGACCAGGCTGCGGTACAGATGATGCAATAGTGGAAGGCCCGGCATATCCATTGCTCGCAAGTTGCTGCTGCTGTTGCTGCATGGCCCGTGGCGCAGTCGGTAGTGTCCGTGGTGCAATGGGTGGAGTTTGAGGAGCCAGGGTCGGGGACCGAGCTTGAGCTTTAGACGCGAGCCAGCTACGAGGTCCTTTAGGGGGACACGCGGCAGGCAATGGAGGACTGTACGGAAGGTTCGACCTAGGACCTTGAGGAAGTGCAGGCAGCCGCACCGGGCTTTGTGATGGCTTCGGAGGCAACGGGGCGGTAAGGCGTTCCCGTTCTTTGCCTTTCCTACTTGAAGCGAGCGCTGCCCAAGGCCCTTGGCTGATATTCGCAGGGCCGGTCGGGGGTGACGAGCGATTTGGGTTGCAACGCACAATGCTGCTGGGACCTGAAACCTCGCTGAGGAGCTCCAAACGTATGCTGTTCTTTTCTCCATTTCTTGTTTAGCTTACTATCACCTTTGCTCGGTGGCCAGCCAGTCGCGTAATGCTGGGATCGCTGAAATCCAATACCACTGTCCACCCGTTTGCGTTTCTGACCAACCTCAAGACACACAGGTTCCACTCGACCTAGAGCGAAGACTATCTGGGTGAGTGAAGGACGCACGCTACAACGGCACTCACCGTCGAGGCCGCGTCCTAGACCGCGGCCTGGGCGATAGCCCATATTCAGGGCCATAGCGTAGCCCTTGCTCGCCGTGGAAAGCTCCTCTGAATTACCATCTGGTGGAGTACGCGGTCGATCATTCTGGTCACTGTCCACAGAATCCGAATCAACTCGCAGCTGGAGGTCTATCATAGCTTCGTCCTCATCGTCTGAGATGACGATGGGAGAACTGATAGAACCGACACCTTGAGTGACCATGGTACGGTCAGTGGCCTGAAAGGTAGATGAACTGTTTGGTGGTCGGGAACCAAGATGTATCGAACTAAGAAACGTTCTGAGAGTCGATCTCATGGGTTCGTTTAAAGTCCGCTACTGAGGGAGGCACAAGCTCAACGGCGAGCACAAAACGCAGATAACATGCAAGAAACACGTTGTTTGGAATATTATAATCACTACAGTCAGCCGCAAGCAGGACCTCCGAAAACGTGACTTCCATTCGGATTACAGTAACTGATCGGCTTAAAGCTCCGTCAGACAGCCGCAAGGCAGCTAAAAATGCGGAAGGATGGAACAGTGCCGCGCAAGTCGAACCAGCGACAAAGGGTATTTCAGTACACTACTTGTGCTTGCCTTCCCCTTGGTCTCGTTGTATCAGCCCCACTCCGACAATCACACCGTCTGCGAGAACATCAGCCACTTTACGACCTTCTTTGGCATGATGCTCTGCTTGTTTAATAAATTCGGCCTTCACAGCCTTTGCGCGCGCAATCTGCATAAAAATAACATGAGTTAAAATACGGCAGACACCACGAATACTCACCTCTTTCGTATGGTGGAGGCACTCTAGGTAATCATCCGCCTGCAGACGGCATTGACTAGGCGCGTCAGCTTCAGCGTAACACTGTGAATATCAACTGTAAGAAGTCAATTTCAAGAACGGGTACTCTCGGGTATTACTTTCGAGAATTCTTGCCAGTAAGCAAAACACCGCGAGCGGCCTAAACACGATATTGTTCAGCATTCGACATAACCGACTGCGAATAATGCACACCTCCAGTGTAACTGAAACCTGACTGTATGCAAATAAAATGTTAGGGGAAAAGCTTGTCATTACCAGACGACACACATACCGCCATCGAACTTGGGGAGGAGAAACGAGCGTGACTCGAATGGATTCCGGGTCACGGTCACAAGCACCTACGCAGTCACAAATTCTATCATTGCACCGCCACGGCCCACGCTACATACTAGCCCAAAGTTGAAAGCACTGCTCTTTGTTTCAATCCACAAACAATGGCTGATCAAGCAGAATTGGTTTTTGTCAGGAGCTTTGTGAAAGTTATCGGAGCTCAGCCGATTGTGTACAGTGACGACTACAATCAGCCCCCACAAAATTCACTAAAGAAAGTCCCTATCCTATCAGTGCGTGTTGGACTCGAGGGTCGTGTTTCATGGCATGTTCTTACGCGAAACTTATTTCAGGTTGAGCTCCCCCCTGTTCCAGAACGTAAAGGAGAGCCTTCTACACCGCCAGGTAGATTATCTTCACGTCATCATTGATGGCCATCTAACCAGAGATCGCTAGCTGCATCAATCAGCATTACGTTCAAGTCGACAAAGCCTCCGCAGTCGTTCACGCTTGCCGTGCAGCCAACAGATACTGTGTCCGAAGTTAAAGCCTTGCTTGCCTCTCAAGCGAACGCACCGCCCGCAGAAGCACAACGGCTTTTACTCAAAGGAAAGGCACTTGCTGACGCAAAGCTCCTCAAGGAATACGGCGTGAAAGAAGGGGACACTATAAATTTAATGCTTAAACCCGGGTTCGAGTGGGATCCTACTAAATCTCCATTCCCGTCCAACACTTCACCAGTAAACATGAAACCTTCCAATATTCCCGAAATACAAACACCGCAACCGAAACTAGCAACAGGGCATAGACATACACGCACGCCCTCCATCGTATTGTCGCCATCACCATCAATCGTGTCTCTCGAGCAGGAGGGCAAACCTCACGACATTGATCTGACTCTTGACACGTCTATACCCACCGCTTCAATATCGCGCGCAGCGCGGTCAAGTTATCAGACTGTTATCTCCGAGCCACCATTTTGGGATCGCCTGTACTCTTTCTTGAGGTGAGTCAAATGATTGTGTATACGCAGATCGTACCTAAACATATATCATCAGAACGGAATTCAGTAACGATAGTGATTCGCTCATCGCTTTTGAGGACTTCCTCCGAGCAAGCAAGGGAGGGTTGACAGCCAGTGAAATCGCGAAAATCCGTGATCATGTGGGCGTTGTCGGGATGGCGGGCACGTAGAGTAACAAGCATCTCTCGAAAAGTTAGTTGGGCTTCCGCATTGCGTACTTGTCTCGATAATTCGCCTTGATCGCGGCTTACCATGAATGTTTTACCATAAGTTGGGAGGAAATCCCAATGGGCGGCGCAATATCAATTGTGGATAATGGAAATTTGCCAGAAATTTGCCAGAAAAGGTAATTTTCCCCGACCTACTAACTTGTCTCGACAACCTCCGGCTAATGCGAATTGAGCTGCTATTGTTCTAGTAGCTTCGCGCTTGTAATCGACGTTTCACGGACTTGTAGAACGTGAACTTCCTCCCAGTATGATGATGGTTGCCTTTCAAAAGCCCACCCGCAGCTTGAGCGTAAGTACGTTCATATCCGAGTCGCACCCAGGCAAGGCCGCCAACCTCCATAATCTGCGACAGTGCTGCACAGCCTTACATTTACATATCATCATGTAAGGCAACGTTCAACGTTCAGCCACGGTGGCATATATACCCTAGAGAACGCAAGCAGGGTTTTGACAAATGTGATCTTCGAGTCAAACTGCCAAAAATTAGCGGAACATCCGAAAGCATGCTCTGAGACACATGAAGACAGGTCACCATTCAGTCCGACTAGAACCACCCGTATATTCGAAGGAACATAACTTTAATCACAACGGCTTTGCTCGAACAAGAACATCTGTAGGTGGTACAATCCCACGTATTCATACGTCACGCTTTACAAAATCAACGATAAGGGAATTTGATTCAGGCGTCAAGTAATGCCGCAGTAAGTCCAGCATGGGCTCATATAGACAGATTGCATCCCTTTTTTGCAGGGAAGAGGGGTATCGGCGCAAACCTCCAAGCAGATCTGAGCGTCATCGGCGGGAATTGCGTTCAACCCGGCGAAAGCGGCAAGAACGGCGAAGTAGATGAACTGAATAGGGTTCATGGTACCTGTCATAACCATGCTTTAGTGATGGTGATGAGTACTAGGAAACTATCCACCGACAAAAGCTTGGTTGTGTGAAATACGCAGAGTTGCTATGGCAGGTACTAGAAGAGCTCTATGTCGATTTCAGTGATATGCGAATAATGTAGTCGCTCACTGTAACGAGGTGTTCGTTTCCGAGGCTGTTGAAACTCAACCACGTTGAATTTATATTGTTGGTGCTAGAGCGACGGGGCAGACCTCCGGAGGAAGTTGGCACCCTACAGTAGGACATTTGCGAATTCAGTGATATCACTGATATGACACAATGCACCGGCTTTAGACTAGATAGTACTGACCGACATAGTTTGGCGTAGTACGACATACTACTACATAGTCGCACCTGGATCTTGATCTCTGACACTACGTTGCCAGAGGAGCCGCTTGTAAAAGGGTTTCGTAAGCTGAGGGTCCCTCTTTTATAGTACTCGTGTCCACTAGAAAGGCTGGTCATAACGGTTCATGGCTGTCTCGGTTTCTTTGGAATGGCTCTCTCTGACAGAGAGAAAAACTATGTCGGAGGGTGAGCAAAGCACATCGGTCAAAGCATGATATTACTGTTTACCGTATGTAGTGGGGAGGCCAGTAGCTTGACTGGTCAGTGGTGGATGGTCCTGGTCAACAGTGCCTGGCATTGTGTGACAGTAACGTGACCATTATGTGACTTTCGAGTGTCACGGTGCGATCGCGAAAGATTTGTCGTCTATTATGCACATTGCGCAATGCGCACGCTATTCTAGCTATATGGACTCGATCATGAAATCCCGAAGACCAGTCGAAAGACTCGTAGTCTGGTCGGTTTCTTTGTCATCTCGGGGCATCGGGCCTAGACTCACAAGACTTGTTCGTCTACGGTAAGGATTACCCTCAATCTACAAAACTTCTCCATCGATGGGTCATAGATAGTGCAAGGATCGCCGTATCCCACGGAACATCGTTTCGCCCGATTTATTAACTCCCATTGAACAAAGGCTTAAGGAGAGACTTTCTAAGTAGAACTCAGACTCCTACCGGCATCGGCGGGTGTGTACTAAGAGAACCCCCGGCATCCGACCAAACACAACCAAGCTTTGTTTCCCCGAAGCCCAACAAATTTCGGTAAATCGTCGGCTTGGTTGTATTTGGTCTGTGACTGTCGGATGTCGGGGGCTATCTTACACACCCGCCGATGGGTAGGAGTCTGAGTAGAACTCCTAGAGGAGTACAAGCGGTAGGGGTAGCGGCAGCCCCCTGACGAGAGCTTTCGCAGGCTCGAAACCGCTGCCGATCCGCTTTACTAACCCATGTTAACAGCGCCCTACCCAAGGTGCGAAAAGGGTGGTCAGTCTAGAGCCATTCCGCGCAGATTAAATTCTATGCCGCCTTGTTCCTCGGCGACTTAGAAACCCATTTTCGTGATCATGCATTGATGGCCGACCGACCTGTTACCACTCCGCCACCATTCGGCTGCCAAGCCGCAGTACCATCGTCAGCAATGTAACGTAAAAAGACCTCGGAAACCTCGTCGTCTCTGAGCATCACCGTCTCGCCACTCGACTTGTCCGTGGACCGTGGTATAGTAAGTATAAGCCAAGCTGCTTACTTAGTTCCTTTTCCATGCATGGCTCTAGGCTTTTGGTGCTTATAAACCACTCCAAACCCCTGAATTTGACTCCTTCTCCACGACCATCATCTCATTCATTACTCTACCGCATACGAACCATGACCTCTACAAAAGACACATCGGGCCAGAGTGACATCAGTAAATTGAAGACGGAGTCAGACGGTTCCTTCAAAAGAGCTCCGTCAAGCTTCAGGAACTTCATTGAGAACGATGGCAAGTTCCCGCCGGAGAAAGGTAAATGACGACAGTATATTTGTCTTGTTGACAAGCTCAGTCGACATACAGGAAGATATCATCTCTATGTATCTTATGCATGCCGTCAGTGATAAGATTGTGATATCATGCAGTCTCATCTTGACTGAACATTCCTCAGCTTGGGCTACGAGAGCTCTTATCACTCGGAAGCTGAAAGGACTCGAGGATTTCATCCGTCTGTTGTCATCAATTTCGTGCACTTCATGAGTTTATACTACCATTTTGTAGCTTTTTCTGCGGTGTCCCCTCACATGGGTGCGCAAGGCTGGCCGTTCAAGAATGCAGATCCAAGTTGGGCGGATGCAGATAACGACCCAGAACACCCCAATTTCCAGCATATCAGAGATCTTTACTTCCTTGCTGATTCGAACTATGGTGGAAGGCATGTCTATTCCCGTCTCATTTGTCACTGCTTGCTACACTGTGATCAGATTTACGGTCCCGGTCCTGTGGGACAAGAAGCTCAACACTGTTGTCAACAACGAAAGCTCTGAAATCATTCGCATGTTCAATACCGCCTTTAATCACTTGCTTCCTGCTGACAAAGCGGCGATTGATATCTATCCCGAGGCACACCGCCAGGAGATCGATAGTATCAACGAGTGGGTATATGACACCGTAAACAGTGCGTCTGAGTCCGTGGGTATGGCTTGTATTGATAGCATCGTGCACTGCAGATGGCGTGTACAAATCTGGGTTTGCACAATCCCAGTCAGCGTATGAGAACGCCGTTTATCCCCTATTCAAATCCCTCGACCGACTCGAGGAGATACTCAAAGGCAAGGATTACCTCGTAGGCAACACTCTCACCGAAGCGGATATCAGGTTATTTGTCACTACCGTACGTTCGATCTTAAACGCGCCTATCCTGCTCTAAACCTTCTATTTCGCTTCAGATCCGCTTTGATCCCGTGTACGTAGGCCACTTCAAATGCAACTTGCGCGACATCCGTCACGGGTACCCTAACATCGATCTGTGAGGTTTCATACATCTTCGTAGGATTCCCGACAGACTCATGTTCTATAGCTGGATGAGGAAGTTGTACTGGAATAACGATGCTTTCAAGTCGAGCACCAAGTTCGATCACATCAAAGAGCATTACTACTGGTCCCAGACAACGGTGCGTTGTGCTGTAGGTTCTTTTGCGTACCCATATTCACACACAGCAGGTAAACCCCTCCAGGGTAGTTGCCGTTGGCCCAGTCCCAGACATCGAGCCTCTGTAAAGTTTTATTGCAGCGATAGTCTTAAAGAAAGACTCCATGTAGCACAACAAAGTCTATGTAACAGTGTCCTGAAACTGAGTACTAGTGTATGTATCGTAATGGCCGCGCGTTTTGGTTCGCCAATATGAAGTGATAGACGACAAGTAGAACAAGGGAATGAAGAATGTGAATCGCACAACTGACATAGCCAGTCCAAAAGTTCCCAATCAGTATGATTGTAGTGAAGTGTCAATAAGCAAATTCGCTAGAAAACCACAATGATGCCCATGGAGAACCCTATCACAATTGTCGAAAAAATGACAGTCAGGTGTTGACAGCCTACAGGAGGTGCCGTCGGTAGGGCAGCTGAAGAACCTGTCGATTTTGTCGCGCCCGTTCCTGACGATCCGGAAGCACCCTGTACAAAAAGAGGACATTGCTGTGAGCTATTCTGACCACTTAATATTGAGGACGATTGTGATGCGGAGAAAGTTGCAAGGCTAAGTGCGGAGGGGGAGGTGGAGGGGGAGGGGGAAGAGGGGGAAGCGGATGAAGTAGAGGAAGTGGAAGTGGAGAATGAAGCATTTATAGACAACGACGACGAAGTTTGAAGAGACGAAGAAGTCGTTGGAAGAAACGAGGAATTCGGAAGAGAGGATGAGTATGCACTCGCAGAACTCGACGAAGAAAGCATGGAACTTGAAAAGTTCGGTGAAATTGAAGTGGGCGTCACAGACGCCGGAACATCTGAAGATGTGATGCTTGTAGCAAAAGAAGTACAAAAAACACTACCATGGTGCCCGAAGCACGAGTGATGATAGTGGGAAGTGTGATTAGTACCCACAGTTGATGCTGGCATGCTTGCTGTGGATGTGATCCCTCCAATCAAAACACCCTGGCCGTTACTGATTGTGCTAAAGAGAGTGCAGCTGGAAGAAGAGGGTATTGGATGCGCAGATGGTGTGACAGGCTCCCCTTGGTAAAACGTGGACGTCCCGTAGACACCCATAGGCTTCGGAAATGTTCAACTATAGAAATACGCATGAACGAAATTGACACTGACCTCAGCCGAGTCCCCCAAGCACTGCTCAAACACCCCCGCAGAGTAATTAGCAGGCATATTCCACTCGCACCCCATGACGTCATATATATGCTGGCACATTGTCGGTGCATTTACCGCGGGCTTGCAAGCGCGGAAGCAGAACTGATCAGCCGACACGAAATTCTGGGTGCGTAAAGTAAGAACTTAATCAGGACGCTGTGGCGGTCTGTCCGAGCGATCGTTAAATTACCGTCCACTCGTGAATTTGCTCCAACGCGCCGAATGCGCTAGAGAACACGAGACCGCCAATAGGATTGCCGTTACCATCTGCACCGTGGGGGTCAAGCTCTCCGCCAGCGTCGCCGGCAGGAATGTTGATGTTCGTGAGATTGCCAACACCTGGGTTTACGTTGGAGTTGTGGATGATTAGTTTGTAGTATAAAATGTACCCACCTGTGACCTGAATGTAGTCTGGAGTGACTACGACGTGCGCACCAGTGATGGAACCGTCTGGGATCAGTCGTGTTCCGTATCCACTCTGAGAGAAAATTACTATGTCGTTTGGAAGACTAAATATAGTAGCAAATCACCTGCATGCACCATGCTACTTCGATTTGCTGCGGGGGTTACACGTTTTTTCTTCGCAGTCACTGAACAAAGAAGTGAAGCATACGTACCTCGGTGTTCCCGATGACCGAGTCAGGGCCTGGCTGAGGAGGCGCCCAGACACACCAATCCTGAACAGTGTTAACTGGCGACATGCTAAGTCAAGGTCAAGGTCAGCAATTGGTGGCGCACGATAGGCATTCTGGCACTCCGACGTCTGATTGTAGCCAGTAGTGCAGTTGTTGTAGCCTGTCTCCCCCTGCTCGCTCTGATAGGGAGCGTTTGAAGGCAAATAAGTTGCCGAATACGTAGGACTTTGAGCATAGCCTGACAGGGTCAAAGACAGTGCCACGAATGAGACAGAATGAAACATGGAGGACGACACTCCTGGCGAACAAACGGGAGAGAAGGAAAAGAGAGAAGTTGGACTGAGCGTTATCCTGCAAGCATGGTAATAAAACGCCTGCTTCTCACCTATACTGGGCAGGGACGTCTTCGAAGTACACCACGTTCAGGCGTGTTTTTGACATGACGTGAGGCTGGCGCCTATACAAGCACGTTAGTACATGACCGAGTGACATCACGAACATTGCGAGCTTTGACCTTGGCCAATCATTAATCGAGTTCAACCTTGAATTGGTCATTGTCAGGCGCGCAGCTTGTCACGGTGGTCTGGGCTAGTCTGGGCTAGACAAACAAGGTAAAAAAAAACTGTTGTCGAGCAGTAGATCTGACCATCATTGAAGGCACTCAACTGTCTAAAACAGGGCCCGGATTGACTTGTTCGAACTTCGACAAGACCAAGATCCGTGACGCATGTAAGTTCAAACACAAGTTGAAATGGTCACTGTACCTGCTAGCCCGGGTGCGGTGTACGGCTATTTCTAAGTTGAGTTTTGGGATGTCATTATACGGCATGGGTAGCAGTATTCAATGAAAAAGCTTCTAAAATAGCACCTCCAGAACGAGCCGCTGATTTTCGACCATGTAAGTATGTCACGGTGCGGCCCGATTCTGAATTTCTGATTACATTGCAGCGTGTGCTCAAGAAACGCCGAATAAGTACTATCCGATGGTTCCGGTGGTTCCGGTTAACCATGTAACCGATAGTAGAACTTTAATTATCCCGACATCTTTCGCCCTCTTACTAGTTTGACATTAACTACCTTCTGCCATCCGAGTCTGCCAGGCAGAGCCGGTTCTACCTGGCAGACCCTCAAAATGCCGAGCGGACGAAATAGGCGAATGTAACGAGATATTGTACTGGTGGTAACCAATGCCGGTACTGTACATGTCAGCGTCTGTAAATTTAGAGAGCTTACACGGATTAGATTGTTAGTATTTGGGTATTTGAGACTGAGCGATAGGCGAAATTTATTCTATTCTGCCCGCGGAAAGTCTTCCATGACATCGGGATCAATAATATTGTCGGTTTGAATAAAGAACTTGCACTCGGGCACTGCAATTGAAGAGAGTTTACTAGTAGGCCGAGGCTCCAAATTACTGCTCGGGGGTACCTGCAATGGCTCGGAGAGCCTCACTAGAGTCCATATAACTGAATCCTACAATCTGCATACTCGGCGCTCGCTATCGCAGCGTCTAGTAAGATCCGGTACGTAGTAATTATACTTTGTTAGTACTAGATCCCATGACCGGCCCTAGGCCTCACTCTCTCTCACCGATATTCAGCTGCAGTGTAACGTAAGAACATAATGTTATTCAATGGTCTTTTGCATAGTTCTAATAGTTATCATGATCAATGACACGACTTTGCGTAGCGAATGTATTACAGTTGACAAAAAGGGAGGTACTACCAGGCGACGAGTACGGTACCATTTAACCCCCCTCTCTATATGGTGTTAGGTTGGCGTGGCGGCAATATGATATAAAAGACACTAAATTTCAACATTCCATCATTCAGCGTAAATAGGGTCCTTTATTCGTCTCGTCATCGTTACTCAGTCTCCATCACTGGTTCAATTCTAGGCTTACCGTCAGAAATGTCGTCCAATCTACTCAATGCTATCAAATCCCTCGTGCCCCTTCAGTTTGAAGACCTCAACTACCTCTCGGCTCTGCTCCTTATACCAGTACCCATCTTGTTGGCCCATGTAATTCCTTATCTCAGGGATCCTTACAACCAACGGAGCATACAAGGGCCATTCCTTGCGCGCTTTTCAGATATCTGGCTAGGTTGGGTAGCGAGTCAAGGTCATCGCTCAGACGTTGTACATCAGTTGCATAGCAAACACGGTATGCGCATCTGACACTCGAGCCACATGAGCTTTAGCTCATCTTCCTGCCCATAGGAACCTTCGTACGTCTTGCACCAAATCACGTCTCTATTGCCGACCCGGATGCGCTGCAAATTGTATATGCCCATGGCAATGGCAGCCTGAAATCCAACTTTTATGACGCCTTCGTTTCCATTCACCGTGGTTTGTTCAATACTAGGGACCGCGCTGACCATGCCCGTAAGCGTAAGATTGTCTCTCACGTCTTTTCGCAAAAGAATGTTTTGGAGTTCGAGCCTTCTGTTCGTCTCTATGTTGGCCAGTTCATGAACCAGTGGGATCGTTTGTTCGACGAAGCCCTGAAAAATCAATCTGGCGCCGAGGGAGAGGGTGGTTGGTTTGGTAAGGGAGGCCGTTTGTGGCTTGATTGCCTTCCATGTAAGTAGTAGCTGCTGCGTCTCAATTTCCAATATCAGTGACTTATGTTACGTCAGGGTACAACTATCTGGCGTTCGATATCATCGGCGACTTGGCATTCGGATCACCGTTCGGAATGGTCCTGAACGCCAAGGACTCTGCGCCTGTTGCTGTTTCACAGAAAGATGTCATGAACTCCTATGGGTCGCAGAATGAGTGTGCATACGTCGATATCCCTGCCGTTCAGATCCTTAACGATCGTGGAGAGTTCTCGGCTTCTATGGGCGTTCTACCTCCCGCGTGGCGATCATGGGTTCGTCTGCTTCCCTGGTACCGCAAAGGTGGAATAGCTGTCAAGAATTTGGCTGGTCTGGCAGTCGCTGCCGTCGCCAAACGTTTCACCACTCCAACGGACCGCGTCGATCTCTTGAGTAAGCTGCAAGAGGGACGCGATGATGAGGGAAATCTCATGGGCAGAGAAGAGCTCACCGCAGAGGCCCTTACTCAGCTTATTGCCGGTTCCGACACTACTTCCAAGTAAGTCTTCCAGCTAATCATGGTCGACCATCTTCCCCATTCATTTCAGCTCGTCATGTGCTATCACATATTACCTTGCTGCCAATCCTCCTGTACAACATAAGCTCCAGAAGGAGCTTGACGACGCCCTTGGCAGTGAAGATGAATACGTTTCGACATACGAACAGGTCAAACGTCTACCTTATCTGGAAGCTGTTATCAATGAAGCCTTGCGTCTTCATTCGACATCTTCCTTGGGTCTCCCTCGCATAGTTCCTGAAGGAGGTTTGACCATCCAAGGCATTCATTTCCCACAGGGCGCTGTTTTGAGCGTTCCAAGTTACACGATTCATAGGGACACCAAAGTGTGGGGAGAAGATGCGGGTGTATTCCGCCCAGAGAGGTGGTTTGAGCGTGATCATGCCACTCTGCAAAAAGCCTTCAATCCGTTTTCCTATGGGCCCAGGTACGTGATGTTTAATGTCATGCGATCACTGTCCGCTGATGTTGACCACCTAATCCTCAGAGCATGTGTGGGACGCAACCTTGCGTCCATGGAGCTATTAATTATCATCTCCTCTATTCTCCGGCGCTACGAATTCGTCCTGGCTGACCCGGATAAAGTGGCACGTTCCTTCCATGCTAGCCCTCTCACACGAACTAACTTCATGACCTAGTTTGACACGCGGGAAGGTTTTCTGCGAAAGCCTGTGGAGTGCCGGGTGGGAATCAAGCGTCGGCAGTGATGAAAGGAAAGGTAGTATACTCACGCTTTCTTTACCTGTTTTGAGAGTTTATCCGCAGCTCTTTGTTTGTTGTTGTTCGCTGCTTCCTTGTACGATATCCTCCAACTGCAGCTGTAATTAGGCTTCTTCCACGGTACACTTGAGCAAACTTTCAGTTATGGGCTGATTCTATTCTTGTTTTGTTGGTCCGCTCTTAGCCTGATAGCGACATCGGAGTGGAGTACATATATATCACAGACCCCTCCCATCACCCTCGTTCCGCGCTCTCGCCCTCCACCTGTGAGACCATCGTCTCCAAGGCAGTGGCGGCCAAGGTGGGACGCATGTCTGCAGATACTTATATAACTGAGCCTATAGTATATCTTGAACATATCACATCTAATCCCGCCTCAAGGCTGCGTGCAGTGCCCCACTTTATCTGACTGATAGCCTCGCGCCATGCGACGGCACCATGGCCTCAACTAGTCAAACAAGCACGTCCCCACAACCTTCTAGCACCACCAATTCTTACAACAATAATCAAACGATGAGTATTTTCACCTCAAATGGATCGCCAACGCTAGTAGTCGCGTTTCTGGTGATCGGGCTGGCTATGGTGACCATGGGGGCATTGTTTGGGTGGAGAAGGATGCGTAGAGAGAGACTCTCCGTACAACCTGCCAGGCCAGCTCGGGTTCGCCTAGGGAAGAAACCGAATGTGTTAGGAGAGAAACCCACACTTTGGGATATGTGGACGAGAAGAGAAGAGGTGATGATCGATTTAAAATGGGAAAATCTAACGGTGCGTCAAGCTCCGCAGTCAGTGTAGAACATGGTGCTCATTTGCTATTGGCTCGCTGGTGGCTAGCCCTTTTGCGCCACGCTATTCCGTCCGACAGAAGAGCCTCCTCGGCCGGTCTTGAAAGCCGTCGAGCCACAACATCAAAATCCACCCCGTTCATCTTCTGTGAGGCCTCCGAGGGTGTCTCCTTTTAGATGGCAATACTGTCGACCCACGGGTTCTCCACTTCTGCCCCTGCCAGAGTCACAAGCGCGTGAACTTGGTGACATGTCTGGACGGCCAGGGTCAGGGGCTCCCTCGCTGACTCGGGCAAAGGGCCCATCCGTCGTGATGGCATTCACGATTGCTATGCCGTCGCCTAGTAGGAAGCGCGACAACATGACCGCAAGCTCTGAAGCATTAGACCGGGCGTCTACGCCAGAGCTACTCCATGATACAGAGCTGGGAGAGTACTGCATTGGATCAGTGGAGGTGTCGTGCAGTGAAGATAAATGACAGGGTTGTCATAGGACTGCTTGGCTTTATCTTTTTTTTGATACCTGATCGTATGCTGTAACTTATGAATGTATGACACTTACCCTTACCTACCTATCTGAGCCATAGGGTTTATTGTTGCTGTATCGTTAGCACAGACTTTATGTAAGAGGGATTTAGAACTTGCTTAACGGAAATAGCGGCTGTTGAAGGTTGCATACTAAGCCCTGCAGATTCTACACGAGTTGTCTTCGTGTCTTAAAGGTGTCAGTGAAGTTGTGAAAGCTAAATAGCACAGCCCCAAGTTGTTTCAGGGAATTGGCTTCAGAATCGGAGAATCACTGTGGTCAAGAAACAAATCATATCTGATTTCAAATTCCTATCGTCAATCATACCAGTGTCGACAAACTACAGTAAAAGTACTACTTCAACGTTCTACGTTGACTCGGGGAACAATACAAGGCTATAAGTGCAGAGGCTATAAGTACAGAATTCGAAAGTGATACACGCGCGCGATAACGCTAACGCATACGTAGAACAAAATATACACGATGCTGGGACACTAACAACACACACCTGACGAGTCGAGGAGGAGTCTGGCATAGTAAGATAAAACTGCAGGTCAGCAAATTAGTTCATAATTGAATCTCCATAAATCAATTCGCCACGCTCTCATCAGCGCTGCTGAGAGAATATGCTAATTGGGGACGCGGGGTCTGAAATCGCGTGACAGCGTGAGGACCACCTGCCACTGCTCTCTCCTCCTGACCAACGAGGTCAGTCCAGCGAACATGGTCGTTGAGAGCAGACAGTCCGCTCGGCGGACACCCGCTGAACGTGTGTATTCGGGGTATAAAGACGCCCTGCATCGCACGCGGTGTATATCTTCAATCCGGCTGCGCTGCTTGAGCGACATGCCCTCCCACTCATGCACCCGCAGAAGCTGGTGGAGTGTCTCATAAATCGCTTCGAGCACATCCTGCACTGTCACCCCGGTTGGGTTACGGGCTACTATCTCCCATTCAGGGAACAATAAGTCACAGACAAGGCGCAACTTTGGAATAGGGGGATTAGTTGCAAATTGTGACAGGTGGGATGACAACAGAGGCGTGTTTCTTATTTCTGCGGAACGCGTTGGACGGTAGCGCACATCCCATTCTATGGGGACTTGTGCATGATAGCGCTCCCCGCTGGAAGAACCAGTAAAGAGGGGGTTGAGCTTGACACCGTGCGTACGAGTTATGGGGGTAGTCATGGTGGGTGAAATGTGAAATGAAGTTTGGAGGGCTGCGGGCAGGACAGAAGTAAGAGGTCGAGTTTTATACATGATGAAATATTCCATACCTGGCATTGATGCCTCGCGGCAGTGATGATTAGGGCTCCACCGCAAAATGCCTTCAGATCCCACAGTCAATACCAACAAAAGATAACTTACTTGCCTCTTCGAAGAGCGCGCCGCGCATTTCGCTAGAAAGAGGCGACGCGTATGCGCCTTGTCCAAGTTTGATGTCTCTATATACCAGAAAGAGAAATCGTGATTAATAGCCACACGGCGTTCTTGTTGTAATCACATTAGCCACAACACGTTGTGATCTTAAGTGTGTGAAATGGTGATGACAGACTGCGGGGAAGAAGGGGGAAGAACATGCTGTATTGCTATGAAAATGAAGAAGGCAGAAGCCGCTGCCTTCTAGAAAGCGATGTCGGGCATAAACCGAGCCGAGCCGAGCGGAGGGGACACAAATTCTCCGCGAATGCAAGACTTTGTAAATGTCAGAGCCTAGCATGAAACTTGCGAAGCCATCTGAGATGCAGAAGAAGATAGATTGAATCCAAATACAGTTAAGGATGACGCACGTATACATCACAGATATGTCGGCTTTGTCGGGCACAATCACACAAGGACGGCAGGACAGAGGAATCGAGTCAATGGGGCGCGGGTCCGATGAGTATTGTGACTCCGAAAACATGAGTCATTTGTGGAGAGATAAGTTGGATTAAATTGTACTATGAATGTCGGGCGGCGCCGTTTTTAAATAGGGGGAGGCGCGATCACCGTGGAGAAAGGAGGGAATGTTGAGTTCAGGGCAGAGTTGCCAGTTCGAGAGGGCACACGACCCTGGATTATTAGCAGGATCTATCGGATGGTACCGACTTGCTGTATGCTCCAGCTGATGAGGACGTAAACACAAGGCATCAAAGTTGTCAGATCAAAAAAAGACCATGTGATTACCCTTGAAAGACGCTCGACAGTGATAGCTCAACATCGACCCATGTAACTGTGCGAACGAATGGCTAGCATTTGCGCCTCATATTTCAAGCATTGCAAAGTGGACAAAACACAGTCCAGAATAGCAAAGAGTCCAAGACTATAATGGTGCAACAATTAATACACCCTTGTAAGGCACGTCAAAGTAGAAAGATAGCACGAGACACGTAGCAGTCGTAAAAATCAGAACAAGCGCCACGGCTACTGCGAGTCCAAGTCATGATAGTACACGTTCGATGTCCCAATAACGATCTCATACAATGATCCGTGCTTCTTCAATCCCACACCTTTCGACGAAGGTGAAAACAGGTCTGGCGGTCGCGGCATGGCTATCAAGACCGAAACCTGAAGGAGAGATTGATCCACCGGGAGCTCTACCCTTGAATGATTCAAAAGTGGGGGAACAATCACTTCGGGTAAGGTGGGAGGAGAAAAGAGATAGGTTATCTCAGGTGGTATGCGGCCGATAACTTGACGTTTCCAGAAAGAAGGTCTCGGCGTTTGGCTGTGCGGCGGCGGTGGCAATGGCATGTCGTACTTTTCCGTTGCCAGCGGCTGTGAAGGTGAGAGATGATCAGAAGGACATAGGCACCAACAAGTAACGGGTGTTACCTGGGTGTCCCTCCATTGTAAACAGCCCTGACCCAGCGAAGCCCATACATCCCACAGTGGAGGCTTCCGCATATGCCTCCTCTGCGAGGGGATGTCAACCTGCAACATCTCATCGATCGCCTGGCGCCGTATGACCAGACGATGCCATACGAGTCCACTAATCATGAACAAGCCGAAGATTGACAAGATACTGACAAGAAAGCCAAAGAGTAGAGAACCGCTATACGACGTGTCTCCATTGCTTGTCGAACTTGAGGTCGAGGTGGGAGCGGATGATAACGTCGATGAAAGCAACGAGGAGTACTGGCTCGTCGACGACGCAGTCATGGTTTTCTTCAACGACGACACCTAAGCGTGGGGGGCATTCCCAAGGCGAACGGATGCATAAGTATGTAACATACGATGCTGAGCGTGAGCACGACAGTGCCTCCCAGAAATCGGGTACTTTTGTCTCAAACTGATCGATCGACCCACGTGACATGATGCTTGCCACCAAGACTTGACCAGGACAGTCTGAGACGAACGTTCTGGTTCAACTAATGAGATGACGAAAAGAACAGGAGGCGTAATAGAATACAACAGGGTAATATTGTTTACAATTTTACGATGCCGTAAAATAAGATAAAAATGAAACCTTCCATCACCAGTTGAGATCTGGAGCGAAAATGCCAGTAAACCCGAATGACCCTAAAATACACTAAAACCCACGCACCGTGTTGAAGCACAGCTCTTGCCCGTTCTCTCCTCCGGACATCATCCAGAATCCCCGCAACGTGTCTGTCTAGCATGTCGACGTATGGCTTGAGACTTGTATGTTCCCAGTCTGAATCAAAATATGAGTGAAAACAACTGGCACAGTGACAAGTAGAGCACTCACTTGCACCCTCGCCTGCCTTGTCGAGTTCTTGAAGAAGCTGCATAACTGTGGGAACTGCATTGGGGTCGAAATTTTCCACGCGGTTCGGGTCAACGGGGACGCAAACTCGGCCGGTTTTAGGATGCACACAGAATGGCGCTTTGAGAAGATGGTTTCGGTGCTTGGATACTTCGGCATCTAGGCGTGGATATGTATATTGCAGAATAATGTCTTCCAGAGCGGCCAGATTTCGGGCCTGTGAGGCGTCAAGAATGGCATGGATAGCGGGAGTAAAGCACATACACCCGTACCCTTCACCTCAGCCTTCAGCTCGTCCCATTTCTTCGACGATTCGATACCGGGCTGATTCTCCCACCGCTTCTCAAGGGTCTCGACAATTTTCTTGTCCGGAACCAGTTTAAGCAGCGTTCGCCAGCCGTCCTCGGATAGGAAGCATTCTTGGTCATCCAACAAGGGATACCATATCCTACTCCCTTCATCGCGCGCATGCCACAGAGAAGGTGGCAGATCTCCTGGGTGGCTCTTCGTGCTCATGCCTCTTACATTCACCTTCTTCGCCATCTCCTTACCTCCTTCGATCACAGTGAGCGCCCCAACCACAGCTCTACGTAGTTCGTCGGTAAGCCCCATGGCCTCGTCGTCGCTGACCCACAAATGGATACCACGACGGCCCGAGTATACCCATAACAATTGATGATATCCAAATTGTGTGCGCAAGGCCGAGTCAAGGACGCGTACAGCGTTGGCGATGAATGCCCAGCAGCGCTTGCATATTCCTGCTGAGGTGCAGCATGTGCGCACGCCATCATAATCAGTCATATCGATATCAAACACCAGCTCGCGCTTCAATGGGGTGAAGAGCTTCCCCGACTTTACAGACCGTGCCAATTTCCGTTCGCTTGGCTTGCGTGTTGTTAGCGTGAAAGCCAGGGAGATCGAAAGATAACTCACCCGAGATGAGTACATGGGTCCGATCTCGAAGCGCGTTGGATTGAGTGCGCACACCTGCTTTTTGAGTTCTTCTGCGTTCGAAAAGCAGTTATAACGTAGATACACGTCTCCCTGGAGAGTAAATGCGAATTCGCGGTTTGTAAATAAATCCTTTGGCGTGTGTTCCTGGTTGAGCCATGTGAAGATGGATTTGAAAGGGTACAGCATGCGGTAGAACTGGAGCATCACTTCCGGCGAGGTCTCCGCAGAGTCGGCCATTGTTGAACGAAGGAATAGCAAATCAAGGTGTGCACTGTTAACCGTCGATACTTACATGTTGAGTGACAAAGAGCACGTGAGGAAGCGTCACGCGTGCAAGTCACACACACTCAAACCTTTGGAAACAAAACACCAGCTACTAGTAGTGTACCGTGCCATGACTATTTCAAGTCTCGGTTTTTCCATACGCAACACAACGAAAATTTGCATATCATATGAACTGACTGCGAATTTCGAAACGAATGGATCAAATCAATATTATGACTTATACTTACATGCACTCCACATATGTGCGAGATACCGAGCAAGTAACAGAGCCGCAAGTTACCCAGTCAATATTGAATCTACTATAGAGGCAGAAGTCAATATTCGCAATCACGATCGGAATGTGCATTCATAATCGTCCAGCTTTCAGTGCATAAATAGCTTCCATGTCGCTTATGAATGCATGACAAGCTGAAGATCGAGTGTCCAAGGACTCATTAATTTCATTATCATTCCACCATCTGCTAGCATGTCATTGCCAGAAATCGGGATTAGACTCGTTGGATTGAATCGAAGATACTGAGTGACGAGTGTCTGCAGCCTTTCACGGTGCTACTGTCGAACACGACGTAGTATGTGTTTTGGACCTCCAAGTTGCAGTAACGCAGGATCACAACATAAACCACACTCCTTGGAGCACTGTCGGTGGCCTTGCATCATAAGGAGTAGGGGCAATCCTTGTCCAGAACTTTTGTGGCGATGAAATGACATAGAAAGGTCATAGCGATGATCCTAGGAAGTTGTGCTGCCAATTAAATGCACTGACCTATACCAACTCTTTGAGGCAACGACGTACCCTTGTATACCCAAAGTTTATCATTCAAGCTTCTACTAGAGTATGGTGTTGGCATATAAAATAACACCCACTAAACGTTGTGTGCAATACAGAGTCAGAGGCATGCCCAGTGGCATCGCTTGCCGACTTGAACATCAAAGATCACAGCGTGGGTCCTAGGTTGATTTGCACCTCTTTCGAATAAGGAAGTAGAGTCCGTAGGAAAGACAACAGAGCCTCGATGACTGAAGGGTGTAATCTGGCATCAACGCGAGAAAAGGGATGACTCTAAGCATTGAACATCAAGGACAGAGGAAAGAGGCTAGCCGAGAGGATTTGGAGTCGGGGTAGCTGGAGCTTGTCGATCTAGTCCTATTTTCGATGCTCCTTGAAGAATTGATCCCAGCAGAAGTTGGAGAATTTCTTGTTGACGGTGCGGGGCAAGTGCGTTGGACGCAAATATGTCGCTCTAACTCTTCTACTTCCGGGCGTGTATGTCTGTGTATGTGGCTGAGTTTGACCTTCAGCTTGGACCACTGAATGCCACCACTGATCAATAATGACCGTCTCTGAAGCGCAAACACGGCAAGATGACTTGAAATTCACGGAAGATACACAGAGCGTAGAGGTTATCGATGAAGAGCCCGGAGACGATACGAACTTAGATGCGACGACCAAGAAACAGAAAGAGAAGGAGCCGCAGCGCGAGCGCGAGCTGGGGAAGTCAATCTTACCATTCTCGAGAGTGCAGAAGATAATCAAAGCGGACAAGGTACGTGTTAATGGATCCTACTGAGGTGTTGTACAGCGTCATGCAGCATTCCAGGAACTTCCAATAGTCGCACGCGACGCGACTTTCTTAGTCTCACTTGCCACCGAGGAATTCATAAAAAGACTTTCAGAGGCATGCCAGAAACTCGCGGAGCGGGAGAAACGAACAACTGTGCAGCAGAAGGACGTTGGTATGTCTGGAGCGTGCCATGTCAATATTTCATTTCTCAGTTTCATTCTCTCACAGCAAGTGTAGTGCGGCGAGCAGAGGAATTTATGTTCCTTGAGGGTACGTTCCTCCCGGGCTTGACCATCTCCTTCTCTTTTCATAGCTTCGCATATAGAGATCATCGCTTTTCAACGCACAGAACCTCCACAGAAACGCAAACCTAAAGCATTACAGAATGCGGAGAGCCAGAGTGAACCAACAATGCTCGATAAGTTTGTTGCTAGAGGAGAGGAGAGTCAGGAACTGGATAATACACCCCCTCCGGATGTTGTCATGGATGAAGATGGGACAATGTATGCAGGATAAATGCGTAATCTATGAGGGTAAGAATCCTCGGCCCGATTCTTTTTGAAGACATGACTACCCAGGAGCGGCTGACGATGGTAAGTACATTCCCTCACATTACATGATCAAGGAGGGGTGTGTAAGTGTGATTCCTTGTAGTTGATGGAGTACTTGACTACTGTTGATGTTTCTCAAAAGCATGTGCAACCACCAGGGCCGTATAGCCTCTTGCATGGGCGTGCCGGAGCGATCCTCATCACGGCGTCACTCAAACGCTGTGCGCGTCCGCCATGGTCATGATCAAACAAGTTCGCATTCACACCGTGCACTAGTCCATTGACACGCTCAGTGACTACCGTTCTCATCACTGATTTGCATCTATATATACCATACGATGATTCTTTCCTCCTCAAGACCTTCTCGTTTTTCTGCTCGTTCTGATTGTTCTGGTTCCCTTTCGCAAAATTACAACTATCTTTCCATATCTCTCCTACTGTAAACCATATAAAATGTCTATTGTACTTACCCCCTACTGGTCGCCAGATGAGGGCATCCAGAAGCTCAAGATGGAAGCACGGGGTGCGTTTGGTCTACTCCATTGATACCCATACCTCATACGTGAATTTTTACTGCCTTTAGCTAAAACCCCAGCTGCGCCAGGCCTTACGCCACCAGTTTTCAGTATGAAAGCTCAGATGGATCGTACCCTTCTCCAATTACGCGCCAGGACATCCCCTATTGAGAAATATACCTTCCTCGCGCAAGTCAAGCAAGCAGATGTCGAGGCCTTTTACAAGCTATGCCTCGAAACACATGCCGGTATGAGGACAATTGGTGTCAGAATCTTTGGGAACTACAATCAACTATTTATCCTCAGGAAATCACACCTATAATTTACACCCCAACTGTCGGTGATGCATGCCTACAGTACTCGAAAATCTACAGAAACCCCGAGGGTTTGGTAATGAATACAAATGCCTCATGGGTCTCCTTCGCTTAATGAGTGCTACAGTTCATCTCTCTCAAGGACAAAGGCAGAATTGGGAACATTCTGCGCAATTGGCCCCTTGCGAATGAGGCTCGGATCAGCGTTGTCACGGATGGTTCGTGTAATACTATTTGGTTAGATGATCAGTACTTGATAACATGCACCAGGTTCACGTATACTTGGGCTTGGTGACCTTGGTGTAAATGGGATGCCCATTGCCGTTGGAAAACTCTCTCTTTACGTCGCCGGTGCTGGGTGCGTCTACCCCTAGTTTTATTTGTGTGACCGTCCGACTAATTGACTTTAGTATTCGCCCATCAGTCCACTCTCCCCATCACGCTTGACCTTGGAACTAACAACTCCTCTAATCTTTCCGACCCCTTGTATCTTGGGCTGCGCCAGCTCAGGCCCTCTGACGCGGAATATGATGCCTTCATGGATGAGTTCATCACCGAGATGAGACGCGTCTACCCTAAACTCTTGGTGCAATTCGAGGTTCGTTCATATTCTTCAAATTTCTATTCTAGAGACATGGACATTCTCATGGGCGATAGGATTTCTCCACTGACCATGCATTTTCCTACCTTGAGCGTTTCCGTAATAGTCTCCCACTGTTCAACGACGATATCCAAGGTACAGGTGCTGTTGTCCTCGCAGGGTTGCTTTCCGCTGCACGACTGGTCCCCATCCCGCGCAACGAACATAGAATCTTGCTATTTGGCGCGGGAAGCGCTAGTGTAGGTGTTGCTAAGCAGCTTATGAGCTTTTTCACAATCGCTGGGATGAGCGAGGAAGCGGCCAGGAGTCAAATCTGGCTTGTAGATTCGAAGGGACTCGTTTACTGTCGGCAGGGAAGGGGTTGCTGACTACAAAATGTGTATGTCCCTCTTTTCTTTGGAGATGGTTCACACCTAACGAGCTACTGCCAGCAGATTTCGCAAGGAGGCATTACACAGGTCCTCCAATGAAGGACCTTGCAGAGATCATCAAGTATGTGAAGCCAACTGTGCTCCTTGGTCTCCTCGACAATCACGGTATGATTCAAACATATATTCTGTATTCATCGTCGCGCTCACTCTCTTTCAGGGTGCTTTTACCCCGGAAGTCATCCGTCAGATGTCGCAGAACACATCTCGCCCCATCATCTTCCCTCTCTCCAACCCTGTCCGTCTCTCAGAGTGCACATTCACTGAGGCTCTCATACATAGCAACGGCACCGCAATCTTCGCAAGTGGCTCACCATTTGGAAGCGAGGTCATTGGTGGCGTCAGGAGGGAAGCGGGCCAGGGTAATAATATGTACATCTTCCCTGGTAGGCTCTCTCTCGTTCTATGCCTGTATCTAAGCTGACTGTTGGATCTCAGGGCTTGGTTTGGGTGCGATACTGTGCCGCGCCAAGAGTGTGACAGATAGTATGGTAGAAGCGTCTGCGCTCGGATTGGCGGGCTCTCTTTCGTGGGATGAACGGGCCCTAGAGCTCGTGTACCCCCGTGTCGAGCGCATCAGGGAGATCAGTGCACACATCGCTGTCAAAGTGATACGGGCAGCACAGAAGGCGGTATGTCTAGTCATCGTATGATCCTCGAAAGCAGTCAAAAGTTTACCCCCATTTTTAGGGCGTGGACAACTCGACAGATCTGAAGAGAATGGATGATACCCTTTTATTAGAGTTTGTCAAGGGCAAGATGTGGAACCCCTAAATGTTTCAAGAAGCTGTAATACTTGGTATTCTGTGAATAGATTGTCAGGACGGTTTTTTGGGTCAGTGAGCAGCTTTTGAATTCAACAACACTAAATACACAAGTTGCGATCACGCCTTCGATGTGCCCCCAGTCGAAGGTTGCCTTGTGGCACTTGCCTCGCGACCGATGACGCGACCGGATTTTATAAAAACAGCTTCTTATTGGTCCCTAGATCGATGATCCGCCACTGGCAGGCTTGGGGTAAAATCGAAGAACAGTTACGTCCCATGACATATTATTATGATGGACTTGGCAAGTTCAGGTGATCAGCCTCGTGCAGAATTCCGTTCGGTGATCTCATAGGCGAGAGTGGCATGGCAAGCTCTTCTCGAGTTGGGGCTGGTATAGGTAATCGGGATGTTTCACTGTAGATAGTGACTGATGTTGATTTCCCCTTCAAGGCCCCATAAGTCATGAAAGTTGTCGTGTAACAGGTTGCGTGCAATGCAAAACACCTCTTAAGTGCGTTCTGGTATACCACGCGCCGTGCACAGCAACTGAGTTTTGTTGCTAGATTTCGTATCAAGTTGTCGTTCACTGATCAGATTAGAATGCCATGAGGGAAACTGGTAGCAGGCTTGAGAAGATCCGTTACAAACCTTACTACAGTCTTCCAAAGTCTCGAAGAAACCAACGGAAGACTACTCCAAGAACCAATCCAACCTAGGAATGCTGATCTATGACATAGGTAATACCCGGGAACACAATTGAATGAAACTTACTCCAGGGCGGATCTAAAAAATGTTCTGTAGGAGTCTGGAGAACATCGGGGTCCGGGAGATCGAGGTACTGGGCGGTTGATGAAAACACATACATAAATTTTGGGAATCAACAACCACTGCATTTGATTATAAGAGCTTCACAGTATTCATGACCTATAGGGCCAGAGGACAAATCTAAATTAGCCGATCACCTAGTAGGCCAAGCTCACCAAATAGAACCGCATAGTCAATCATACACTTACCACTGTGGTACAAAACCCCCACATTACTCGGTCCGTCAGCCTTTCCTCGAGGCTTCAGATACCATTGCCAGGCCGCAGGGAAGATGTAGATCCGATGCCCAATCAGATTAACGACAATTATTATAACAAACCTACTCACATAAACTTGTCTCCACATTACACAAGCCTAATCAGATCAGCCGCTGCTCTAATTTCGGCAAATTCGCCTTCCTTGATATCGCCTACAAATTGACGACAGAGCAGCGACTCAAATGTCACTGTCAACAATAAATCTTTCGGAATGTTCGCAAATGACAAATAGTGTCAGTGAGGATGTTCAGCTGTGGGTATGAAGATTGGGACCTGCGAATGAAAATAAATTAAAAAGGAATCTACATGTGCGTGGGGCGGAATCATCCTGAGTCTACTGGGTGCGTGTTTTTCTAGGCTGATGCTCCATGACATCACTGGCTACTTGAACAGCAGACCCGGGGCCCATGTCATCCCTCGCACACCCGTGAGAAATCGGAGTGTATGTCCGGTAATGAAGATAATGGTTATGATGGCGACAGTTGTACGACATACGACTTTCTACGAGGCCAGTAGCAGCCCTGAATACTAGGAATAAGATTTAGTTGGGGTTTATTCAATGGAATGGGAGAAATTCGGGTTAGTTGATCAGCCTGAGAGTGGAGGAAATGTAATTTCCCAAAAAGGAGAATGACGTAGGCTTGTGGCGCGGAGGGTACCCTGTTTTTGTTCGTGTGGAGCTCATCTGTAAAATGAACGAAACAGATCCAAGCGCACAGCTCAGAAACGTTAGCCGTTGTTCTTGTTCCTAATTTACAATACCCTTAAATTTTACTTTTCAGATCTTCTCGCAGGTCGAGCTCACTGTTCTCTGCGTCCTCCGGTATACTTACTAACCTGGCAAAACACTTCAGCACCATCAATTTTGTAGCAACCGACGCGTTACGCGGGCGATAAAGCCGCGACGCATCGCGAAGCCCATACCCTAAAATAAATATAAACCCAAGCCAACCATACCCTTGCAGCCGTAATACCAGCGCCTTCCGCTCCAGATGGCGTCAGCCCCGCCTCTTTCTGTGCGTTCATCCCCTTACCTTTTCTCTTTCTCTTCCTCTATTGTCTAGGTGCTAATGCCTTTTTTATCTTCCTCTTCTCTTCACCTATCGCAACAGGGTTTTTCTGCTCCTCATTCTTCTGAGTTCCTGGGTCCCACAAATGATGACATTGAGGCTGTCATTCAAATGGCCACATCATCTAGCAATTCTCAGGATTCCCGCCAGCTAGTCCCACTACGAGATACCCGCGCTCAGTTGTTCATTGGCAATGTATGGTCGTCTGTAGACCCTCCTGAATGCTGTTCGGCTCTAACCGAATATTGCAGCTCCCGTATCGAGTCCGTTGGCAGGACCTCAAAGATCTTTTTCGTCGCGCAGGCACTGTCTTGCGTGCTGATGTGTCACTAGGTCCTGACAATCGCTCACGAGGCTATGGTACTGTCCTTCTGGCCACCGCGGAGGATGCAGGAAGGGCAATTGACATGTTAAATGGTTATTGCTGGCAGACCAGAGTCCTGGAGGTGCGCCCCGACAGGCTTGGCGCAAGTGTCGATGAAATGGGCGCCACCCTCGCAACCAGAGGCGCGAATGGGCACCCCTCAGGGTTCCCATCTTCAGCCAATCCATATGATGAAAACACGTTTGGACAGGATGTGGTAGGTGGCACTGGAATGAAAAATCTCTTTGTGGGTAACGTGAGTCTGTCAATCTTCTTCCCTCTTTTCCTCTTTCATCGATACTCCCCCCTTGTGTATGATCATCATGTGAGATTCGAGTTTGTACAAGTGGCCTTCTACCATTACCACCTCTGGATATTACTTTCTTGGGTCATCTTTTGCTTGCGGTGCCACAAGTGTCTATTTGCTCACCTTTCTTCCACTTCAGCTTCCCTTCCATATCCAATGGCAGGATTTGAAGGACCTGTTTCGTGCCGCTGGTGCTGTTGCTCGAGCAGATGTCACCGTTGGGCCTGATGGGCGCTCTCGCGGGTTCGGAACAGTCAGCTTCGTTACGGAAGACGGTGCTGAGCGCGCGCGCAGGATGTTTGATGGGTGCGTTGCTGCCTTCTTCATGACGTACGATGCGCCTTCCGGGTTCATGTGCACATCCCTCTTGTTCACATTTTGACCATAAAATATTTTCGCTGTGTAGTGATGTGGCATGTCGCGGCACTACACTCGATATGAACCCTTCGATGCTTTCGTGTTTTGTTAATCGATTCTGGCTCATGTGCTGATTGTTCGTGATTATTGATTATGATCTATTCCAGGTATGAATTCAATGGACGACCATTGAAGGTCCACTACGATAAATTCTCGCCGTCTGCAGCTCCGGTACCTCTTGTTGGCGCACAAATACCAGTCCCATCCACTCTATCACAGTATGCTCTTGCATCTCACTTGCAATCCCTACAACTAGAGTCCCATCGGTTGGGACGCCAACAAAACGAACATCTATCTCAGCTCAAACTCGATGGGGTGTTGCATCCGCAATTAGATTCTTTAATGCACCCACAGTTGGATTCGCTTAGACGTGCTGATCTAGACCCCATAACATCATCTCAGCTGGAAGTCCTGTTGACTCACTCAATCGCGCCATCAAGTTCTCGATCCTCCGACCCTTCTCTCGGTTCAAGTCCCCTTACCCCCGCCCCCCTCACTTCTCCTACACTCATGCACACTCAGTCCCTTGCGCCATCAGCAGCCCATTCACTAGCACCTACACCCACCCATCCGCATTCGTTGACAAGCTCGCCTCATCTAGGGTTCTCAAACAATAGCTCGACAAACTTCGCTCCCCTCGGCCTATCTCTGGGTGCCGACGCGCTTACCGCCAAGTTGCCCCCACATTCGGGTGTCGCTGATTCCCTCAGCTTGAAGCTAAACACAGACATGAAGCTCGGGAGCGATATACATCTGCTATCATCAAATAAATCACGGACATCGAGCTCCAGCTCGCAGCGTCCAAGCGTCTCTGCGGGCTCTTCGCAAGCGCAAAGCTATACCACATCGACTTCATCGGGGTCGTCACGGCCAAGCTTTAGTACAGCCTCATCATTGACTGATGGTACAAACTTCTCCCAGCGGCTCTCGTTCGGTGCGTCGCAATCCCAGCGACCGTCGTTCAGCTCTTCGACATCCCAACGCCCCACCTTTAGCTCCACGTCTCAGCGCCCGTCCTTTAGTGGCGGTTCTGCGCGGCGCCCTACATTCAGTGCGAGCTCGCTATTGAACGAGCCATTCTTCGATGGCGAGCAAGAGGGGCAGGGGTCTGTGGGCCATCCTGTCAGTATGGGCACGTCGCGGGAGAACTCGGGCTCGAGTTTGAGCTCGACATTTTCCCTACCTTATACACTGACTCGTCCTAAGTCGGATATAGGCAGTGATACCGCGTCAACGTCCCCTCCGGCGAGCGGGGGATGGCCAAGTATAGCGAGTCCCCGGCAGAACTCGCCTAAATCTGTCATGCTTGCGCATCCGATCCTCAGTTCAGACTTGTCGAACAAGTCTCAATCTATGTGGGGTGCTTCAGAGGTTGAGCCAAGCCAAGGATCCACGCCAGCCAAGTTTGAGGGGCCAGGAAACACCGACGTCACCACGACCGCACTTGGATCTCTGTGTTTGCGAAGGTCCAAGGCACTGGCTTCCAAGGCTGCAGAGAAAAACAAAACATCTTCACTAAATCTGAAGTCTACATCTCCACCTCCGCAGAAGCCATCTCAGGCATCCTCCCGCCGACAACCTGGACCTATTGCGCTGCCTCCTCCATGTACATTTACACTCCCACATCCACCGGTGCTGTCCCCATACCTTCCGCCCCACCCACAGAGTCCAATGTATCACGCTGGCTACATGCCATCTCATCCCATGAGTCCGTTGCATCATCCGGGTGTGCGCAGCCCTATACATCACCCCCGCGATAAGCCCGCT